TACACAATCCATTCCATGTCTATACACAATCCATTCCATGTCTATGCACAATCCATTCAATGTCTATGCACAATCTACCCCATGTCTATGCACAATCCATTCCATGTCTATGCACAATTCACCCAATGTCTACTCGATGTGGGTGACGATGTATCGATTCGTCAAACCAGAATCGAAAGATTATTTCCCACTTGAGCAAAGCACGTCGTGCTAGACGTTTTGTTTCAATGGCAGGCAGACGACCGTACTACTGATGACTTGGGCTCACAGTAGGCGCCTTGAGACATTAGTGCAAGGTGCCTTACAAATTAATGTACATTCTTATTAATATTCGTACAGTACTACATGCATTGAATCACTTTGTGTATAATTGACTGAAGGAAACGGTTCGCTACATATACAAGAAGACCTGATGATGCAGGCAGTGATGAGAAAGAAGCTGGCACTGTCTGGACACGTATGTCGGATGGACAACAACTGGAATATTAAGAGCGTGTTGTTGTTGTTGTTATTCGGAAAAAAAAACATTTAAGCAACCGGAAAGAGAGAAAGACCCAACAGAGAATGCCTTGATGACGGCATCAGAACAGATCGGTGCCAGAAAAATGTGGCAACTACTTTGGCACAAGACATACGAAAGCAGTGGCGGCTCCTGCAAAATCTCTCAGGGGGGGCAAATGTCTGGATGATTGATAAGGATAAGGTCCACCCATGCAATGGATAAATTAACAGCTTAAGCATGTAAAGGAAACTACACTTCTTTAATATTAATGAAAAATAAAGTGACTCTTACAATACATCTTGTTTGTTTCTATACTCACTATTAATACAATCCACTCAAGTTTATTTTATTAAAGATTCCACTAGGTGGCGACAAATTATATTGTTGGATGAAACGTGCTTACGTATGATGACGTAAGCACGTTAGGGCGAGCCCTCCCGGAAGCCATAGAGAATGCATTGCAGCGCCCGCCGTTCGAAAAAAAACATCTTTGAATGTAAGTCTATGGGGCCACTCGGGGCGATTCTCAGCCGGAGTGAAATCGCCCAAAAAGAGGCAGTACTCCACAGAACGTGACATGACGCTGATTGGACTATATCCAGAGGCACAGTGACGGCTAGCGTGACTCTGTGGTTGAATGACATTGGTGGTGCGTCGCCCAATCGCCCTAATGAAGAAACCGCCCCTGTACAAAAGTGGAAACAACAAATGACGTAATGTGCAGTGGACGCCTCCGGGCAATATACCCACATGGATCGTGATGACGAAGATGATCATTGATGTGTTTGCTTCCCTTGGGATGCAATGGCATCTTTACGTCGTGACGAATGGAGCGGCCTCTAGTGGCTCTAGGGGTCACACGAAACCATTTTACATACAACATACATCATGTGTCTTCTTGGTTCTGTCGCTAAAGTCACGTAGAAGGGAAATAATAAAATATTATTATAATAATAGAAGGGAAATAATAAAATATTATTATAATAATAAAATAGTATTATTATTTCTCTTCTACGTGACTTTACCGAAAGAACCAAGAAGACAACCACTGTACATCTTCTTGGTTCTTTCGGTAAAGTCACGTAGAAGGGAAATAATAAAATAATAAAAATAAAACATAATAAAATCATTCTCACGACGTTTCGGCCACAACGCAAGCAGCCGTCATGCGTTGTGGCCGAAACGTCGTGAGAATTATTTTATTGTTTTATTTTTATTATTTCCCTTCTACGTGACTTTACCGAAAGAACCAAGAAGATGAATCCCTGCAGTCACGAAAGCTTTAAATCGAAATTTATACACCATGTGTATGAATTGAAACACATTGATGATTACACGTGATTCAATGCATGCACTGCGAGCTTAAGAATGAATGTTAATACGTGAATCCATGCATTGTTGAGTTGTTAATCGGGTATTTTATTCAAAATTGGAGAACCACGAACAATCGAATCCCAATCATCGGGTGTGGGATTTTAACTTGCAACAATCCACTTGTGAGTCAGATGCTCTAGCTCGAGAACGTATGTATATTGAACTTCTTTCGCACCGTACGTAGCCAACCGTGCTGATCAAAGTGTGCGGAGGAAGGTCAGCTTTATTGTAATCGCATCGAGATATAAACACAAACCATGGTGGTCAAATCAGCCCACCATTCCTTTCGGGTAAGTAAAATAGGTAAGGGGCGTCCATAGGGGGGGGGGGGGTGTCCGACATTTGTGATGATGTGTGACAAGGGGGGGGGGGGGGGTGTTGAGAAATGTGACGTCACGTAAAAATGTGCAACTTTAAATAAATATAGAACTATTATAACAACACTAATTGTTATAACAACACTCCTACAAAGTCAGAGTGCAGCACCACATCAAATACGCACTACAATGACAATAGTTTAAAGCGATATGAAGCATGTTTTATTTTCAAAATAGAAATATGGGTTTGGGGGGGGGGCAGAGCTTTGTGACGTCATATTTGAGGGGGGGGGGTCTGACTTTTTGTGACGTCATGTGACGAGGGGGGGGGGGGTCAAAAATCGTCCAAAATCGCGTGACGTCATTTATGGACGGCCCCTAACCACTCTGTGGGAAGTCAACAGAATTATTTCCCTTCTACGTGACTTTACCGAAAGAACCAAGAAGATGAATCCCTGCAGTCACGAAAGCTTTAATTCGAAATTTAAGTCAACAGAAGTTGTCCTTTGGAGAAATTGGCATCATTGTTGAATAGTTTGACCATCCAGTGAACACGGCATATGTGTTGCAGTTGGTCACCGTCACGTGACGGTGAAAATAGAGAACTAGAGAACATCATTCCACCATGATACAAACATATTTCTGAATGAAAGATGATCTAATGTTGTGATGCTACGGCGTTGGCCGTGGAACACAATCACAATTAACAAACAACAACAACAACAACAACTCAACACGGTCCTCAATAACACTGCCTTCAAAGGAAAACTTTCTATATAATAGACGACGTTCTGGGCAATGGCCCTCCTACAAAGCACATCGCACATTTCCCAAAACGTTGCCTTACTGTAGAATTTGTTCTCGTTATTGACGAATCTGTTGCGTTTGTCCCCTATCTGAACGAGTCAATTTGTCATCGGGTTGCGCTTCTTCCGATGCCGACGGAAATTGCGGTCCCCATGAGATGTCACGGAAATATCTTGCGGACAACTCCAGAGGAGCTGAGCACTAACCCACGCTCATCGGAGCAGGGAGATTATTTTTCTTACTTGACTACAGCCTGATAACAGCTTCTTGAGATGTAAATGGCACAGGCGTATGCTGATACAGAGACGCAGATCGAGTGCAGACTGGGAGAAAAAAGAAAGTTGATTGATTAATTAAAGACCTATTACTTGATGACATTAATCAAGGCAATCGTTCTCACATTTCGCCAGCAGAGAAACCGCACGGTGCAATATTCCCGCAAGCAATAATCCTGACGCGTGCTATCTTGGGGCACCGCGGTGACGAGATGTTGTTCTCGCTCGCCTGCTACCAAGGATGTCCGTGGGTTCGATCCCGGACCCTGACGATGCCTGCTGCATATTTGGAGGATCACGTGATATATCTCTCTCTCTCTATCTCTATCTCCGCGGTGGTCGCATGGATTCTTCTGCGGGTCCACCGGTTTATTTTTATTTTTTCTCACGATGTAGGAACATTCGTTTTGGATTATTTGGCTGCCACTATAAATTCCCGCGTGTGATGATATAAGCCACTTCGATGTACTCGTGAAAAAGAACTCATAGCTCAGTGGGCTTTACCTGTTGAAATAAAAATTAGTTTAGTTAATATCTTAAAACGGATGGCCCTATCTCGAGCATCCTTCCTGGTGACAATGTTTACTAAATTGGACTATTGGCTATTCAGCAGTTGAGTTAATATTAGCAATGCGAACGTTGAATGAAAATCACTTGCGTTGTTTACAGTAATTGCAAGATAATTCGGATTAGTTTGGTTTTATAGTTTTCCACGTATGCATGCATGCCTGCGTATACATGTTATAAGATGTATGTGTTTATGTAAAAATATATTGGTGCAATCGCAGCTTACCAAGGCTGAACAAAAGTATCCTCCCTTGTATGTACGGTCCTTCATCAATGAATTGCTAGATGAAGGCATTCCCCATGCCGTGTCGGTCATCAGGGGTTGTCACCATACTTCGCCACAATGGGCAGTACGGATCGGTGAAGTGGGAGGCAAGCATGTCACTCGCCTGGGTTGTCGGCAGCCGCCAGGAATCAAACTCAGGTCGCCAGGAATCAAACTCAGGTCGCCAGGTGCATAGCGCGGTGCACTAACCCCTGCACAAACGCGCCGTCGCCAAATGCATTAATAAATAATGCTATATGTTCCATATAAAACGGTATGCAAATGCATTCATACATATTCATTGTGAGTATTTGCATACACGCACCAGCACAAAGCCCATAATATCATAGACACTGATACGAAGCAATACACACTTTAAAGAATTGCGTGGCATTTACTCTGCATCCAATTACTAGGCAACCAATGTAGCATTTCCAATTTTATTACGTGTGTATATTGTCCCTATTAACACATCATAACACCTTACAGGGCACTTACAATCATTTTTTTTTTAAACAAGGCTTATCGGCCTCTGTGAAATTTACAGCAGCCAGTTGTGTAGCCCTTAGCTCCTGAGCAACCTGCATTGAGGATCAGGTAATGTTTTTTCTGTTCTTTTATTGAAGGCATTAGCATTTAGAGTGGCCACCTTGTTCAATCTTCATTGAAAGATAATTTTTACGTGTAATACGGAACATCCTCATTCCTCCACGCATAATTATACTCTCTTATCGCAAACAAATTGGACACGAGAGATAACGAGAAAATACTGTATCCGTGACTTTGCGAACACTGTCAATAAATTACCGATTTGTCCTTTGTACAAGGCTGGGCTCGCTCTCTTTTTCTGCTCAGTTCAGCAGGGTGCAGATGAAAAATGGCTTATCCATCAAAGCTCTGGATTAAACGTCTGTTGGCCTATCCCGCGAGGTATAACACTAATTGTCTGGTTTTATGTCCGTTAAAAAGTTAATCTGTCGCGGAGCTGTGGTGTAGCTGCAGACACACAAGATCATTGCTTCATCTGCATGTTACGTTACTCCGTAACACGAAGAGATAACGCGAGCAGCAGAATGGTTCAAATCTCCTGGCGCTTCAAGGGATCACACGGTTTATTTCGGTAATTGCTTGTTGCCTTGTTATTTAATGGCACGTTGTTAATACATGTATACCTTTTTATCTCGTGTATTATGTTACATTGCAGACCTAACTTACCTTTTGTTAGCAGTCTCTAAACATACTGTCCTCTGTGTGTGTGTGTATTTAAATACATTATCTGGAATGTAAAATAAGAATAGGTTTTACCCTTCCTGGAAATAAAACAGATGTTAAGATGTTCAAACAACACATCGATACCATTAGCAAGGGATCAAGTCTGCATTAACCACACGTACCTGTGGTGAACATGCAAATAAACATGCTCTGATAATAGAGGGTATTGTCTTTTTAATTAATTGACCTGCACCAGAGACTGCCTTCTTTATGGCCTAGTCTCACCAGTGTCAGACCAGAGAATGCCAGAAGGTACCGGAAACAAGTATAACCCGTAAAAACTAAGTTTTTCACTATAAATCCTTTATATGCGTGGCGGCTAGAGTCCTCTCGTCCTCTGGCTTGAGATGGCTGCCACCTATGGGTCAGATGATTGCATGGCAGCATTAAGCAATTGGTAATTAAATATAATATTTTTGTCCTAAAAAGTGTAAAATTTTGGAAAAAACATTTTCACGAACATTAATTGTCACGCACAACGAGTCTGTGTGGAAAATGTCAGCTCGATTGGATCACGGGAAGTGGGTTATAAAACGACCGAAAGATTAGCACGGTCCTAAGCGAGCAAGCAAGTGAACTTAATATAAAGGATTTAAAAAAGGGTCCCATGACATCCCTGTAATGCGTCCCATTCCTTCAAACCTATGAAAGTAAGACGGAATAAACCTGGGTAATGCATGGGTCATCACCATGCGTAACACAGGTTTAGTAGGCAGTGCGCGCTTGAAAGGAGGAGTGAAAACACATCTCTTGATTCTTGATTTGAAGCTTTCGTGACTGCAGGAATCCATACTCTTTGTTTCTTTCGGTAAAGTCACGTAGGTATAACATAAAATATATCACGACGTTTCGGGCGCAACACAAGCATCCATACTCTTAGTTCTTTCAGTAAAGTCACGTAGGTAAAAAATGAAATAAAAATTAATAAAAAAAATAATAAAATCACGACGTTTCGGAGGCAACACAAGTCTCCGTCATCAGGTGGGACTGTCACAGCCAGATTTGCTGCATCAAGTGAGGCGAGGATTCAAGATGCAAGCTCTTAAATACAAGTTAAGGGGGAGGAGAGGAGGGGCTAATCAGAATGTGGTAGCCAATGAATGGGACGTATCGGGAGGGAGGGGGGCGGGGCTAAAAGAAGGCACGAAGTTCTGCGTAGAACGCACGAACCAGCGTGGTGAAGTATGGTCAAATAATCCTCATTGGGCACATGGCGTGGAAAGGCCCTGATCCAGCAGTGGATTGATACATCTGTGTGAAAATATTATAAATACATTTGTATATAGAGCTGGTGCAGCATATCAATAATTAGCAAGATATGGATTACGTTTTACAACCTTAAAATACATTACAAAGTTGTTTCTTGGCAGGGCGGTGCTTCAGCAGAACACTTTACTATACGGGTGGGAGTTCAAACCCCGTCAAGGGCCAAATCAGCCCACCATTCCTCAAGGGTTGATAAAATGAATACCACTTTGGGGAGTCAACAATGGTTTCCAGTGGAGGCATATGAATGTGGAATTTACGCGACTGGGTCAGAGCTGCAAGTGGAAGTCTCAATCTCATTTGTCCAATAAATCTTCGAGAACATTAATATGGAGGAAAAAAAGATCAATTTCTTAAAATATAATATATCAGGCATAATGAAGAATAAACAAATTATTTGTCGATACTGCAATGGCAGTGGTGCTCAAGGCACAAATAAAAAAAACTCAAGTTAAAATATATAATAGGTGACATTTCAGGTAATGATCCTTATTCATAGCACAAATTAAGACAAAAGCAGGAAGAATTTTCTTCAATGGAGTTCACACAAACGATAGCAGTTTGAAGGGATGTATAACAACAAGTTACACTTTGAGCATGTAGATAAATAATAGTGAGATGCATGTGATGTCGGTAAGTGATGTGGCTTTGTATAAAAATGGCACGTGTATAATAGCTATGAATTTTAAGTGGTTTACATATGTCTTCAGCAAAACTCGTGACAACATATTTTGGGTCTTAGATTTTTTCACCACCAAATTGATGGCTTGTGGAATTACCTTATTTCAACATTAATCACTTTGATCTGGGTTGTTTTTTATTTTGTTTTTATCGAACATAATTAGTTTGATAAAAATGTCATGAAATATACGATGTTTAAACCTTAAAATGTTAGCTTCATTGTAATTTCCTCATTCTCAAATAATCATTAAAAACAAAAGACAAACAACACGTGTTTTCAACAACAAAAAATAGTTGATAATCTGTCGAGCATATCAGTACTAAATTTAGCAAAGTGTTTAACGTATTCTTAAGTCCAATGGCAATGCTGTAAATAAATAAATAAACATTGCGATGAACAGAATGTGGTCTTTAAAAAAAAACTGAAATAAGATTCAGAAATGGAAGCATTTCCAAGATAAATGGCGAGCAATTTTCCCAATTATTTACTGCGAGATCTTTACGATGTCTCTATATGAATCTTCATTCAATAACCTGCCGCATTTGCTATCTGTCTTTCCATCGCAACAGCAGCAAGCTCTCCAGTGTGATCACCGTGCAGCAGTTGCGTTAAAGATTATGAATTAATAAGGGAGAGCACAAAAGGGTGATTGAATACAGAACGGTCTGGGTGAAAGAAAAAAAAAACTAATACCCTTTGGCTGCATCCTACCCGAGGCTTCTTATAGTCATTTCTCATTAAGCGCTCACGACTGTCTGCCCTGACTCTAATGCATTTTCCGGGAAAGGGGGGTGGGGGGGGGCTGCCCTGAATACAACCGGGTATGTGTCATTTTGACACTCCGCCAATTTAAGCGATCACTTTGGAGCGGAGTGCCGTTTCTGTTTAAGATTTGCTTTTTTTTTTGCCGCGCCCGTCCGCAGGTTTATTCAGCACGAAGAATCCGCAAGGGAAGAAGCGTGTTCATACGGGAGATGTGACACAAGGGGTACGGATGCCTTAATTTTGCTTTGGTTGGCATTGTGTGTTTTTTATTTATTTATTTAAGCAGAGCTAAACCTGTCACCATAAATACTGACTAGGCTGGGTTGCCCTATAGCCCCTTCTCATGCCCATTGACAAGGTGACATTTGTAATGTACCGCCACAGGCTGTCGCTGCAAAGGAGACACAATGCGACAAGAAAAGACCCCAAAACACCAACGTGAGCTTCTGTTTCTGTTGTTTTACGTGAACTTATGTTGCAAAGTACCAGCTCGTGAAGGTACAAAGAACAGTCAAATTACTTGAAGAAGAAAAAACACTTAAAAATATCGACATATATAACTTAAAACTTATTTTAAACCCAATACAGTACTGTATGTGTGAACTATCATATGCAACTGTATTACCGTATTTGATTCAATGTTACGATGGAATTGTGAGAATCCAACTCCTGGTTGGGTTGACTAAGCCCCTCGTCCCTCTGAGATGGACATAACAAGAACGCTGAAGGAAATCAACTTGGTTGTCCAAAATTGGTATCTTACACACCAATATGAAATTTCCATTTTCGCTTGAGGACCTCTGTTGAAAATAAGCACTCTGTTCAACACGTCCATAAGTGACACTGCCATTGCATATTAAACATAGCTTATTTTGAAAATATCTATTGAGAACCTGAACGTTTAACATATTTACCAAAATGGTGAAAACGGAAATAGTTTTGCTTGTAAAACAGAATTGTGTTGTTCTTACTGCTTCTCACGTGGTTAACATCTTTGATTGATATTAATGGCATGACTCCGTGTTTAATTCCATACGACATCACGTGCTTTGGAACAGCATCTGGTTATTATTTGTAGCAGACTCCCAACATTGAACCTGAAAATTAAAATCACAAACATAATGAACCGAACAAAAAATATGGAACATGTTAATTAAGGTGTAATTTAATATATTAACTATTCTCATTACTGTATCCATTGAAACCTGATTGATTAATAGAACACAAGCTTCTCGGTTTTCTTTCACCAAATGTAGAGGGATTTTTTTAATTTATGTGACCAGCGTACTCTTTATTTGCATCGCAGGATAAAATTAAAATTTGGAAGGTGTTCCATTTTTACACAAGACATTGCATGTCCGAGACTGCTTGAATCCTATACCAATCTCACGAATTTTTTGTTGTTTAAAAAAAATACTATAATTTAAATTATGTATTCTTGATGTGTGCCTTTTGTTTCTCTCTCTCTTATTGCGATTCAATTTTTGTTTGAAAATTGCCAGTTTTTTCAAGCAAATTTATATTTTCGTCTGGATCCTACAGAAAAGCACATTTGCATGCCCTTCGGGAAATCAGACATCCCTTTTAAATGTGGCACGTGGCCAGAAAAAGCTATCAGGATCATCCTCGACACACATAGCTTGAGGAGTTCATACATATATACAGTATATGTATAACATGATAAAGCACTAACCAGGCTCAAACCCACTTAGACTCCGAGATCTGATGCGATCGGGTGCATTTCCCAGTAATTTGGCCGCATGCTTGTTACTTCGTGGGTCCATGTTTATGTTATCCTTTTTGAACAACACATGCATATACTCTGCCATGAATGTAAACCCACTTAGACTCCGAGATCTGATGCGATCGGGTGCATTTCCCAGTAATTTGGCCGCATGCTTGTTACTTCGTGGGTCCATGTTTATGTTATCCTTTTTGAACAACACATGCATATACTCTGCCATGAATGTATGATATTTACAGTAAAATGAATGCAAAAGTGACCGTGCATTTAAAGAGAGGTTTCCTCCGCTTTATGAGGGTTCAGTCTGTGTGACTGCGCTTACTTGGGGTTAATGAACAGGCGTAAGAACTATGAGCCCAATGACAGCCCTTATCATCCTCTATTACCCCCCCCCCTCCCTCTCGTCGCGTTGCAATGAATTGTCACAATTCAGGGCGACAATTCGATTGAATAATTAATTATTTGTATTTTTGTTTACATTGTGGTGAAAGTGGCAGGCTCCAGCACATTACATACAATGTATACACGTAAAAAAAACGTATTATTTTGATGTTGTTGAATTTACTTAGCAATGTACATAGCCGACCATGATCATCGGAAGTGCAGGAAAAGGATAACAAAATAAACACAAAAAGCAGTTTAAAAGAAATTAGTTTTCAATTTAGAAGATGCATATATCACACGACTTTGAATTCATAGTGATTGATGAATCGATGCATCGTAACACCCAAAATAAAACCATGCAATATTGGAGACTAACTTAAGTACAGCAATACATTACATTTTACTCGATTATAAAAGGCAGGTACCAGGAATTACATGAATTTCTACGGGTTTTTTGTATGTACCCGTAATTGCATTAACATTACTTGACATGGACTGGTTGATTACTATGTGATTAGCTTGAATGTAATTTTTTTATTCGACAATTATTATTACAAAAATGTTAAAGTAACAAATAGGAAATTATTATTTCAGTCGTGGGGATTAATGTGAGAACAAGCAGCAACCACTTCATATAGGTTACGCCACAAATCCTACATCAACGAAATATAAAAAAAATTAGGTCCTGTAATTATACAACCAATCAAATAACTATAATGATATATTTTACAGTGAATATTCCGAATATACGATTACATTAAGTCGTGTACAAAATGTATCGGTAACACTAAGTCATTCGTAATAATAAACTTATTCTTTTTGAAAAGTAACCCTCCAAACTAGCGGGAGCTTAGGGTTCTATTTAGAGGTGCAACGCATTTCGTGACTGCAGGGATTCATCGTCTTGGTTCTTTCGGTAAAGTCACGTAGAAGGGAAGTAATAAAATAGTAAAAATAAAACATAATAACCTGAGGACGGCTGCTTGCGTTGTGGCCGAAACGTCGTGAGAATTATTTTATTATGTTTTATTTTTATTATTTTATTACTTCCCTTCTACGTGACTTTACCGAAAGAACCAAGAAGAGGTGCAACGCATTTCACCTTTTCGAGTTTTCTATTCTTTTGCTCACATTTGCAGATGGATTCATTGATACCGCTGTTCGAATGCGCGGGCAAATGTTTGTGTTTAGTTTGTTGTCCTTCCCCCGCACCTCCGAGTAGCATGGTTGGCTACGTACGGTGCGAGAGAAGTTCAACATACATACAATATCTACGCAGCGGTGCCTCTCCTGGGAAGCTGGACTTCCGAAGAACCACTTGTCAACAGTGCTCCCAACACTGGGAATATAGTATGGATGTAACAATGCATAGTTTATCTTCTTGGTTCTTTCGGTAAAGTCACGTAGAAGGAAAATAATTAAATAACAAAAAGACAGTGTCTGAATGACACTGTCTTTCCGACAGACCTGTTCTTCACCTGAGGACGGCTGCTTGCGTTGTGGCCGAAACGTCTTGAGAATTATTTTATTATGTTTTATTTTTATTATTTTATTATTTCCCTTCTACGTGACTTTACCGAAAGAACCAAGAAGATGAATCCCTGCAGTCACGAAAGCTTTAAATCGAAAAATGCATAGCTTCGCTGATTAATCTTGATTCTTAAGTTCGTGACATGTTCACTGAATCACGTTGTGTGAGAATTTTTTGGTCTATATTCAGTACATGTTGTAAGGGCTTCTGCCATAGTGTTGTTTCTATTATTTAAAGTTGCGCATTTTATGTAACGTCACATTTCTCAAACCCCCCCCCTCCCTCGTCACACATCGTCACAAATGTCTGACCCCCCCCCCCCCACCTAGGTGCGTGACGTCATTTATGGACGGCCCCTTATACCTTCTGCATGTATATGTTACCTGTTGTATGTACTGTGACGGGCACGTGACTCCTGCTCTCGCTCGAGGCCGCCATATTCACCACAATGCGAAAGCGTGAATCGGTGTTTTTGTTAAATCTAACCAGGACCATCAATATATTTACACCTCAAGAACGGAGTGCGTACCTTTGGCACAAACGTTCTAAGAACTATGCGAAAGCCTTCACGAAGCGCACTCGTTGTACGTATGTTTTAACAACTCTGCAATGACACTTTAACCACATGCAGCAGATTATTATCATCCATCAGTGAAATAAAATTACAGCGCCGTACAAAATAAATTCAATTTACATTTTTGGATTAACACCAGAAGTGCTTTGGAAAATTAAAATGCAACTCACTTAATGTACTAAAGTCTCTTAAAATGCCTCTGTGTTCATGCAGGATTGTGAGTGTGCATCAAGTACAAGGTTATACCCGACTGATTATATTCGGGCAGCGATTGGCAACCGGCGTGCTGTGGCACACCAGTGCCCCCAGGTGTACCGCAGCAATTCCCCAGGTGTGCTTTCACAGTATATTCGTAGGTATAGGCAAGAACATACTATTAACATTCCCTCCCTTTGTTAATGCTACCCCCTCCCTCTGATGCTGCTAATCCTGCATAATGCATGGACATAATATGACTTTGAAAACCCCCCCACCCACCTCCTACGCATTTCCCATAAATGCTAAATTCCTCTTGATATGCAAATTATTTTGTCAAGGCGCTCTTCTTCCACCTCCAACCCAGCTTATATATACGCTCCAAGCTTGGCAGTGTTACATTCTTCACCTGAAGAAGGCTACTTGCGTTGTGGCCGAAACGTCGTGAGAATTATTTTATTATGTTTTATTTTTATTATTTTATTACTTCCCTTCCACGTGACTTTACCGAAAGAACCAAGAAGATGAATCCCTGCAGTCACGAAAGCTTTAAATCGAAATTTAACCTCACTCTTCACAAGCTCGGATTAACCTCACTCTTCACAAGCTCGGATTCAAAAACTCATTCTTCACCTGAAAGAAGGCTACTTGCGTTGTGGCCGAAACGTCGTGAGAATTATTTTATTATGTTTTATTTTTATTATTTTATTACTTCCCTTCTACGTGACTTTACCGAAAGAACCAAGAAGATGAATCCCTGCAGTCACGAAAGCTTTAAATCGAAATTTAACCTCACTCTTCACAAGCTCGGATTGAAAAACTCGCCGTGCCATTCAGTTGCCGATCCCCCGACACCCCCTCTTCGTTTGTCGCCGCGCGGCTCGGTACAGCAGAAGACAGCCGTCAGCCACCACCACCACCACCGGCCCCCTCCACTCCTTGAATCGCGCGTGTGCGCAGTTTGGGCAAACGGAGATACATAACAACAACAACCGCCATTCGTCACTAAGTTGCGGTGACGTCACCACGACGCTTGTGCCAGGCCAAGTGCACCTTGAGGCTGCCACGTGAAGTGTCGAACGCCCGCTGGCAGGAGGTCACGGGGCAAACCCAGGTGCCACGGGTCGACTGACCGAGATGACTGGCTGATGCACCACCTGTGCCCCCTACTGTGCCAACTTGCTGTGCTTTAGGCACCCGGCGCTCCGCTCGTTGTTGTGAGCGTCGCTCCTCCGCCCTCCGTTGTTGTTGGAGGGCGGCTGCCTCCAACTGCCCAGCAGCGTCCTTCACGAGCCTCCTCCACTGAGGCCGATCTTGCCACGGAGACACACACAGCCACGGAGACACACACAACCGCTGTGGCGCACACAGAGATACGGATAAAATGAAAGCTCTGCTTATCAACAGTTTTTCATATCCGCACCAGTGTTCTCCACTTGAGGCCAGATAAGACGAGCAAACTCACCCTACATGGGGCCCGATCTCTGCAGGTCTCACAAGCTAAAGCAGAGTTTTAACCTGATTAGTGCTCATATTCTAGATTTGAAGTTTTCGTGACTGCAAAGATCCATACTCTTTGGTTCTTTCGGTAAAGTCACGTAAGTGAAAAAATATTTTAAAAAATACAAATAAAAAATAGAGACTACTTGGGAATTCTGAAATGTGTGGGCTGAGGCTTGAAGGTGACCACGGGAGATGAAGCCCAGCAAGAGATTCTTGAATCAATCTGTGTGGCACTTTTAGTAAGTCGTTATCCCTTCCGATGCGTGTTGTCTACAGTCTAACAAAACTTTCGATATTTTTTTCTTTTACCAGGTAAGGCCCACTGAGCTATATAGCTCTTTTTTCAGAAGCAACTTTGCCACAAATGACAGCTCATGAAAGTGGCATGTTTGTAAATGTGGAGGGAAAACCTGAAGGACCCGGAGAAGAATCCACGCGACCACGGGGAGAGAGAGACACGCAAACTCCAAGTATACAACAGGCGTCAGAGTCGTGATCGAACCCACGACCTCCTGTATACCAGGCGAGGTAGTTAACATCTCACCACCCCGGCTTTTCTCCCCACGAATAAAACGCCCATTCATGGCCCATGGCAAAACATCTCAATGTAGCAGGACCCTCCTGAAAAGAGCCTTGATACTCGAACATACGCAGTTACAAGATATGCAATTGCTTGTCCAGTCAAAAATTGAGTTACCTAAACGTCGGGTAAGGAAGGGAAGCACGCATTGGAAATGTGAGCAGACTCTTCCACCTGCCGGGAATAATTGGCAATTACATTTCCAATCGTCTAACATGTCTCTCTCTCATCATGGGTAGTGCGTTGTCTTTGAACTGTGCGCCTTTTGGCGTCATCTGGTCGAACACCATATGCGACTAGGCTCTAAAGAAAGCTGTCTCTGGTGTGGACAATGCATAAATTATCAGAGTATTGTTTTTTGTTTGCATTTGACTGCAAGTATTGTGGTTAATGTAAGCATGATTCCTTGCAAAAGGTGTCAGTTTTGTTGCCAGAATAAAGGGGAAACCCCCTATTAGTATGTCTCTCTCTCTCGATGCTTCTCTCTTAGATCTCTCATGCTCACATCTCCTTTAGATTCCACTGTGATATTCACATGCCCTGTGGATTGCACCCGTTGGGTTTCACTCCCTCGTCGAGGAGACCGCTCTCCTCCTATCTTACAGTAACTTGCTATTCTCTCACATTAACATCACTCGCCCCAGCCACTTCTTTATGAGCCTTGGGCTACACCCATTTCAAACCTTTTGAAAGAGTCTGACTCAGCAGCAGACCATGCTTTCCCACCTCGATGACGACCGCTTGTGTTGCGATCGAAACGTCGTGATATATTATTAAATCCTTTATATTAAGTTCACTTGCTGGCTTGCTTGCGCGCTTACGACCGTGCAAATCTTTCGGTCGTTTTTTAACCCACTTCCCGTGATCCAATCGAGCTGACATTTTGCACACAGACTCGTTGTGCGTGACAATTTATTTTCGTGAACATTTTTTTACAAAATTTTCCACTTTTTAGGAAAAAAAATTTCATATTTAATTTAAAATACCAATGTGATAAAAATGAAACTCTTACTAAAAAAATAGAAATGAATAATAAAATAAAACCGATGCCACGCATATAAAGGATTTATAGTGAAAAACCTTGTTTTTACGGGTTAATTTTTTTTATTTTGCTTTATTTTTATACCTACGTGACTTTACCGAAAGAACCAAAGAGTATGGATTCCTGCAGTCACGAAAGCTTCAAATCAAGACCGTTCAACATTGTTCATGGCAAATCAGACATTACCATTTAATATGAATTATTACGCTTCTGAATGGCAAAGTACTTATTCTCGTTTCCTGCAATATATTTAACAGCTTTATTATGCATGTGATTATATAATAGAACAAAGTTAAGATGACATATTCATATCTGGTAACCCCTTATCAGTGCCCTACCTTATTACAGACCAATACAGATCTTATTGGTCAACCCGTGCCCCTTTTAAATGTCAACGTTCATTCCACAAAGTCCCATCACACGGGGAGAAACACAAACAAATAGAAACAAAAAACTGCCCCTATTGAAACGCCTGTGGGGCCGTCCATAAATGACGTCACGCACCTAGGGGGGGGGGGTCAGACATATGTGACGATGTGTGACGAGGCGGGGGGGGGGGGGGGGTGAGAAATGTGACGTCACATCAAAATACGCAACTTTAAATAAATATAGACAAGTTCTACTTTATTAAATAGACTTTTTAAAACATATTTTCTCCTACAACATCAGAGTGCAGCGCCACATTAAATACGCACTACAATGACAATGGTTTAAAGCGATTTGAAGCATGTTTTATTTTGGGGGGGGGGGCAGAGCTTTGTGACGTCATATTTGAGAGGGGGGGGGTCTGACTCTTTGTGACGTCATATTTGAGGGGGGGTCTGACTTTGTGACGTCATGTGACGAGGAGGGGGGTCAAAAATCATCCAAAATCGCGTGACGTCATTTATGGACGGCCCCTGTACAAGAATTTCCCCTGTACAAAAATAAGGGGTAAAAAACCATACGGCTTGACAGGTACGCGTAAAAATTTCGATTTAAGCTTTCGTGACTGCAGGGATTCATCTTCTTGGTTCTTTCGGTAAAGTCACGTAGAAGGGAAATATTAAAATAATAAAAATAAAACATAATAAAATAATTCTCACGACGTTTCGGCCACAACGCAGGCAGCCGTCCTCATGTTTTTTTTATTTTATTATTTCCATTCTACGTGACTTTACAGAAAGAACCAACAAGAGGTACGCGTAATATAATTCTTGTAAATTTGTGAAAGCTTTTGCCCGGAACAAAAAAACACCACCACCACCATCTCCCTCGGAACCAATTACAGCAGTTTCTGGTGAAGACTCCGGATGCATTTCGCGGCGACACCCACTTGAGGTCACAGCGCTGTTGTTGAGGTAGGCGAGTGGTCGTCAGCTCGCTTCGCGCGTTATCTTAATTACACATTTAACACGAATTTAAAGGCTCAAACCCACCTATAAAACGATCTCATCGCTGTCGTAAATTGTGTCTGTGGTCGCAGTCTGCGGCAGCGTCTCCCGTAATAATGGCGAGCGTTTTAATGCAAAGATTTCTCGGCGTGCCAAGTAAGAGAAATTGTTTACCGACTTGTGGCTTTGAGTTATCATTAAACTCGTGCTGTGAGTGTGAATGACGATGCTTTTGTGATATTAATAATCTGACTAACTAGTGCTAGTGCATTTGTCCGCTGTCTCGGTACACTAACAGGCACTAACAGTGTTGGCGTGCATGCCAAATGAGGTTTCAACTTTGACACAGATCTCCCCTTTTAGTTTTTTATTTCTTTTAAAGTTTCGCTCTTGTTGACATGGATGCAAGTACCGTAGCAATTTAATGTTACAAAGTATAATTAAGGTTTCGATGTAAAGCTTTCGCGACTGCAGGGATTCATATTCTTGGTTCTTTCGATAAAGTCACGTAGAAGGGAAATAATATAAATAAAACAATACAATTCTCACGACGTTTCGATTGCAACACAAGCAATCATCATCAGGTGTGTTTTTATTATTTTATTATTTCCCTTCTACGTGACTTTACCGAAAGAACCAAGAATATATTTAAAGTTGTATTCTTCCGTGCTTTAAATACGAGAGAGTGCTTCTGTCTAAAATACGAATTGCATTGCGAATCTTTTTTATTGAAATGCTGCTGTTATTTTAGGCCTTCATCCAGCAGCATATTGATCATGAATGATGATTTAATAGTACATAGACAAAGGGCAGTTTTACTTCGTTAAATTAAAGTAGTGAAATGTTGCCCCATATGCCAATGGACCTTGCATGCATCCCATGTCTCCCAACAGCTTTCGTTCAATGCGCTCATTGATTTTGTTTGTAGTATGTCTAAATATTAAGGTAAATGTTGTAATGTATTGTTTCGATTAAGATCTATATTGTCTTGTATAATTAATGATTGAGTTTTTAAAGTATGTTTTCAAAAATGGTATACCTTCTATTTTCAATTTTAAACCATTGTTTAAACTGATTAACTAATACTGTATGCTTACATGTAGAGTATCATTGTTTTTATTAGTGTATTACATGTATTGATGTACTGTAAAAAAAATCAACGCATTATTTTCAAACTACAACATTTTCTGTTACTGCTGAAAGATAATCCTTGAACACATTTAAAGAGGCCTGCCTGCCACAAAGTCAAAAGCCTATTTCCAAATAGAAATAAAAATTTTTTTTACCCTTTTTATCAACCATTAGCATAACTCCGCAATTGTTTTGATTGCAGTTCATGTTGGTAATGGTTAAAACAATGTTTTGCTTGTGAAATAATCACGCGATTGAGTGAATGTGACATAATGAACCGTGACTTATCGGTCTTCCCCCAGAAGCCATTTGGCAGAAACGCAGCAGCAGCTGTGGCACAGCACCGCTCGGCTCGGCTCGCTTAATAATGCCAATTCAATGGGAGCAGTAATGAAGTGTAGTCGAGACCCATTTGGCAACATGCTGGCGCAGTCGTGGGTGACCGCCACACGTCCGTTTTGTCTGCTCTAATCGTGCTGTTCACGTGTGCGCGTGCTTCTGTTCATGGGCAACAGGGCTGTGTGGAGTGAGTGCTGTGGCAGGACGACAGCTGGTGTCTGGGCATCTTGCCATGAGCACTCTGCCCACCTACGAGACCCTGCGTCTCACCAAGCCCAAGGAGCATGTGGTTCAAGTGGAGATCAACAGACCGGAAAAACGCAATGCCATGAATCAGGCGTTCTGGAGGTGCATTAACCACAACAAGGACTGTAACCAAATGTTAAAACATAAATTGTTTCGGTTTGTCAATGAGTTTACCTGCAGGTTTATTACTTTTATGCTAAAGTAGGGCACCATTTCCTACACACTAGGCCTTCTGAAATGTTAGTCCATGCGACCCACAGCAATGGCGATTTTCATACTTTATACATAAGCACAGTGTGTGCGGGGTATGAAATGTCTTCAGTTGTAATTCTCTGGAGAAAATTGTTAAATGCGACCAGTGTACCTAGGGCCTTGCATGACAAACGAGGATTGAGATGTACAATTTGATCCTTGTTCTTCACTCAAATTTGAAAGTTAATATTTCAAACCTTGGCAGGATCAAATCAGCCCGTTATTGTTTCATGGTAAATAAAATGTGCACTAACATTGATTGGTTTGTGGAGAGACTAACCGTGTCCGGTAGGAAAATGGCATTTCCACCACTGACGCAGGGCCATCAAGAGAGATGACCACTGTCTCGTGCTCACTGGAGGATGTAGACGCTGCATTTTTCAAACTTTGGTTTCTACGCAAGCCATTTTCTGTCGTGGTCTAGCAATTTGGCTGAATTATCAACGCGGGACTTGGTCTTTTCTCCTCATTGCATATGCTGCCTTTCTATGTTACGTACATGATTTTTCATTACCGCAGTGTTAAGAAAACTGCAGATGAATAAGCACAGTATTCTGCGAATCTCTACAAAACTCGCTCAAATCACATGCCTGCGTGTTGCTCTGACAGGGAGATGGTGGAGTGTTTTAACCACATAGCAGACGATAATGAATGCCGTGCAGTGGTGGTGTCCGGGGCTGGGAAGGTGTTCTCATCAGGTGAGAGTACATTTTATACATATACGGTACGTATGCAAATTCAAAATGTAATCTATTTCTATGCCTACAGTAATCTAGTCAGTCGATTATTTCAGCTCTAAGAAAGGGTATTTTACCTCCTGAAATAATATACAAAGTCCCTTTTTAATTCAGGAAAGCCTCATTGATTCTTTAACATTTTAGGAGATTATGTGGCAAATTCCTTGATAAATTCAAGAAATATATCAACTCATAGCTATTGTATCTTCAATAGTGCTGCTTGCGGCTAGCTGCTTGACGTTTCGAGCCTTTGGGCTTGACAGCAGATGAGTAAAAAAAAAACATTATTTTGGCATATACATATTTTGTCAGTGTTATCACCTGTTTATATAAATCAAAATTGTTGGTTAGGGTACATTTAACACATTCCTGCGGAGGGAGCTGATAGGAACGTTGGGTTGCTCGGTCAATGGCCAGGGTCAACGGCGGCGTGGTGTATTCCGCAAATATGCCTGACTATGAGGGCGGGTACAAGCCGGCGTGAGTAGGTTAAACGTTGAGTTTTATAAGGGCACCACGGGGTGACCAGCCCCTCCCCACCCAGCCCCACCCCTCCCACCCCCCACCCAGCCCCACCCCTCCCACCCCCCAGCCAGCCCCACCCCCCATCCAGCCCCTCCCCACCCCTCCCACCCCCCACCCAGCCCTACCCTCCCCACCCAGCCCCTCCCCACCCTCCCCTCCCCACCCAGCCCCCTTCCTCCCCACCCAGCACCTCCCTGCACGATCGGACGGACGATATAATCTATTGTAGGCTGGTTGTAACCAGTAGGTTCCTACCAGTAAAACGCCTCCATGTTCCTCAGGCATCGACCTGATGGACATGTCGGAGGCTTTGTTGTCGCCCAAGGGAGACGATACGGCTAGAACCTCATGGCACCTCAGAAAGTTCATCCAGAGCTACCAGGAGACCTTCACTGTCATTGAGAAGGTTTGGCTGGAGCACATAAAATCAAAACAGCGCTTGCCCGATCGCCTTCTGGTATAACTATCTTGCAGCCTTATTGTTCAAAATACTTTTTTCTTCCTTTATTAGAATACAATACAATTTCATTTGTTGATGCGAGTCAATCATTAAACGTATTTGTGGTATTTAATTTGATCACAAAATCAAATAAGCATTGAACCACAGCAGCACAACAGTTGAGATGTGCTTTTATATATGCGGTAAGGTCTCAGAGTATACCGGGGTTAGATTCCGTGTACCCCCGCTTAAGCGCAAATTTGCGTAAGTTGGGGTTTGCCTATGCGAGTTTAATATATGCAATGTAAGAGTGTAATTTTTTTAATATAAATGTACTTAAATTTTTAATAATGTACAGTACTGTACAGTAAATGATTCACTAATCATCTGTATATGATAAATACGAAAGATGCGAGCCGGGCGGACTCGTTTCTTGCGCAGGCGATACAGTTACACGCCGTCAAATCCATGTTTGCTTGATGGCGGGAGGTGGTTTGACTCGCTTCCTGCCCCGTGCGTGTCGTGAAAGTACGAGTCACAAGTGTAAGTATGAATGGGGGTCCACGTAACTCTGAGCCCACATACCCTTGAGACCTTACTGTACTGTAAATACATTTATAAAATGCCTTTTTACAGCCACATAATTCTTTGCTGCCATTATGACTTTCAAATTTCCTTATTTACTGACTTACAGGGAGGCACTCCCACTATGCTGTGGAGGTGAATTGATGCCATTATTATAGAGGGCACCGCAATTATGTCTTCAGAGTCGAATGGCTGTGGTATTTTTTATATTTTATCTCACTAAAGAAGCATCACAATGGTGTAAGACCAGGTCACGCAGTCTAGGTGTGAACTGTCTATACAAAAACAGCTGTTTTAGGGTGATGTCCATCTTAGCATTGACAAGATTTGGTTGGTTAATTGTATTTTTCTTTGTATTTTTTTCAGTGCACCAAGCCCGTCATAGCTGCTATTCAAGGCGCCTGTGTCGGTGGAGGTATTGGAAACTAATTCCCAGCCTATACTCCTAGTCCCACCCATCAACCTTCCCGGGTTCATAAAATGGGTACCACGTTTTGGGAAGACTACAGTGGTCACCCTTTGGGAGAGTCTTGTCTACCATGGAATTGTAATTTCCACTACTGGCTGAAATCCACCCAATACGTGAATCGGGCCCTTTGCCTTCATTTAACATGTGGCATAAACACCTTTCACTTGAGTGTGTTTGTCTTTGATGTAATTTTGAACTGCAGTTGCATGTGTGTGCTGTCTTTTTGAGGTGTGGACATGGTCACTGCCTGTGATATCCGTTTCTGCACTCAGGATGCATGGTTCCAAGTCAAGGTACAAATATTAATTGTTGCTGGATTTTACATTACGTGTGGTTTTTTTTTTCCTAGAATAAATGTGGTTCTGCCATGTAAACGTGCATTTTCATTGATGTCTATCCCATGAATAACTTTGCTCGATTACACCCACGTGCTTAGTTTTACACTCATACGCTTACACACAAGCACGAACATGTTAAATTGTAACATGCTAACTGTGTTGTTAAAAAGTGCTTTTTTGAAAGAATTTGCCAATGTTTCCCATTGCTATTGATAAGCTGTGCCAAGTTCTGTTGCAATATGTCATGAGCATACCTATAAGTATCTTATCAGCTACCTGAGAAAGATTGTTCTCTCATGTAGGAGGTGGACATTGGCCTGGCAGCAGATGTTGGAACCCTACAACGTCTGCCAAAAGTTATCGGAAGTCGCAGGTAAACAGTGATGTGAGACGTAATTGAAAAGGCCGTGACTCACATAAATGATGCATCACTAATGCGCACTGGACGTCATGATGTCTTCACATTTTGACAAGAATAACACTGGTCAACAAAAAAAAAATTTTTTTTTTCTGGCCTGGACTTTTGCAGCTGTTTTAGACTAATTTCAGGGTGCTGATTCCAAATCTGATCTCAGATTTGCTCTATCACATCTCATTTTTATGCTATCGGCATACCCCATTTTCATTGATTTTACCCGAAATTAACTCTGTCACTTATGATTGCAAGTTGTTGCGAGTCAGTGACTGCTTTAGTGTCAAAATATGGTGCTGTATTTTTAGGATAGTGTGTTTATAATATCATATTATGTAGATATCCACATTTATTTAATATTTTTCTTCTGCAGTTTTTATTGAAAATGCAATATTTGATATCTCAAAAACCTGATGTGATAGACAAAAACTGATGCCAGATTTGGAATCAGCACCCCAAAATTACCTTAAAACCGTTGGAATGCGTTATGCCAGAAAAAGTGTGTTGACCAGTGTAACTTTCCCTTGCACTCTTTTATATATGAAGGTTCTGTCATACTTACATGAGCATGAATGTCCAATATGAATCTATGTTTTCAATTAACGTAGGAAAACGTATGTTTTGTATGTACATATACGGAGTAATTTACTATACAAGAGGCCACCTTATTGGCATATACTGTATACCCCATAATGGATATGACCTCTGCTTAAACGTGTGTTTAATGCAATATGGAGTAACTTTCAGAAGCATTGCTGTTCCACTTCAGTGATGTAACGAGAGTGATGTTAAACTGCATTTACATAATTAAGAGCACTATGGCAGTGCTTCTAAAATCTACTTATTTTGACTTTTTCCTGTCAACAAAACTTGAAACCAAAGTTGGACAGCTAGGGGGTACACAGCCTTGTGATGTATGCAGCAACATGTATGGTTTTTTTTTGGTTGCATGTCATTTAACTAAATATTCCTATTTCACGCTGTGGCCCATCAGCCTGGTCTGTGATCTGGTGTACACGGGTCGCAAAATGATGTCGGATGAGGCCAAGAGCAGTGGCTTAGTCAGGTGAGTGCATTTAACCCAGGCAATAATTTGCAATGCTTATTAAACTAGATTCGAAGCTTTCGTGACTGCAGGAATTACTCTTTGGTTCTTTTGGTAAAGTCATGTAGGTAATAAAATCAAATAATAATAGAATCCGACGTTTCGGTTGCAACACAAGCAACCATCATCAGGTAAGAATTAATGATAAAACACACACGGAAACAACACAGGCAGACACATGATGCAGAGAGAGACACACAAAGACACGGAGCGTGACACCAAGGAAACACAGACACGGAAACAACATGTTTGTCTTGGTGTGTGTCTTTGTGTGTGTCTCTCTCTGCATGCGTGTCTGCCTATGTTGTTTGCAGGGAGGGGCTGGGTGAGGAGGGAGGGGCTGGGTGGGGACTGGGTGGGGCTGGGTGGGGGCTGGGTGGGGGCTGGGTGGGGCTGGGTGGGGAGGGGCTGGTCACCCCGTGGTGCCCTTATAAAACTCAACGTTTAACCTATTCACGCTGGCTTGTGCCCACCCTCACAGTCGGGCATATTTGCGGAATACACCACGCCGCCGTTAACCCTGGCCATTGACCGAGCAACCCAACGTTCCTACCAGCTCCCTCCGCAGGAATGTGTTATAGGTTGCATTTTCTGTCTTGCTATTTCAACTATTCGGTCTCCATTGTGTGAAAGTTTTGAAGTGCACACAACCCTACACTTTATACAAACTTAGAACGCGTACACACCGTGCCATTTAAAAAGTGACAGTTTTTAAAACCTCATAAGTTGTTGACCTTACTGGAAACACAATAAAAATGTATTCGTGTATGCTCAAGTCTTTCCTCTGTTATTAACAAAGGTCATGTTGTGCACATTTCATCATGCTGCTTCTCAGCCGTGTGTTTCCTGACAAGGCCAGCTTGATGGAGGCTGCCTTGCAGATTGCCGAAGACATCGCTAGCAAAAGTCCAGTAGCCGTGCAGGGCAGCAAAGTCAACCTCGTGTACTCACGTGACCACTCGGTCAGGGAGTCTTTGGAATACATGGTGAGTGCAAGTCCTGTGGTTGGCGATTGCAAAGAGTTGTATATGTACCATAGTAATCATACGTTCTTGAAACTAAAATCCTCATCTCAACTATACTACGATACGGCTTGTTTTTAAAACCATGATACTGGATTAGAACAAGTAGCTCGTTGGCTGACTTGGTGCAGGTAGGCATATGACCATTATCGATGTCACTGCGCACATCTGCGTGATGATGTCACCTGCATCCCTCATAATTGAAGCTTTTGAACCGAATGAATACAAGGACTTATACCACTAAAACATACAATTGAGTACTGAAAGCATTTCACCCAATATATATTGTATGTGTATCCTTGTTTCTGTTATTTTACAGGCCACCTGGAACATGGCCATGCTACAGACAGATGACATAATGAAATCAGCAACGGCCGTTCTTCAAAAGAAAACCCCCAAAGAAACTGTTTTTTCCAAGCTGTGATGTAAATCTTTGGTTTGAGCCAATCTACAAAGTGGGTCACACAAGATGGGACTATTGGTGGAAGAAATGGATAGTGTACTGCAATGTATATATATTTTCATCAAAAAGGCAACAATAAATTCTTTATACGACTAAAACGTTCGAGTTAAATTCTTACAAACATGCCGATAATGTAATTATTGAGCCAGTTAAACTGTCTCACGATTTGCACTCGTATCGATTTTCTGTGATGTACTTCTCGTCAATCAAATTTATTACAATTTGAGATGTGATAACTTAAGACATTGCAGAAAACGTAATCAAATCATATGGTCCAGTGTCGATAATGATATAATGGCTTTTACAGGGCTATTGGGAGAAGTGCTGCTCATGAGAAATTGTTTTGAGGGATGAGAGAGCGAACAGCCTCAACTGTAGTTGTCCTTTGATTTTCCACTGCATGTACTGCAAACGGTCCTCAATCTTTGCTGAACCAATTTGAATGATCCTATGGTAAAAAAAAAACTATCAAATGGTTGATCATGTGGGTGGTTTTGCCAAAAAAGTCTTCAAATTTATCACGATTTAAATGCAAGTGCAATACACTCTTCGAATGGTAAGAAATGCCTTCAATGAAAGCAGTATATCAGTCCTGTAAGTTGTCAGCCCCTTATATATATTAGTTTATATAGAAGCAGTGGGTGGATATGATCATTTAGTTTCTAGCCAGGTTTGATTCTACGACCTTGGGTCACTTAAATTGCCTGCACCAATTTGTGATTGGTCTGTGGCACTTGTACCTGCTGCAGAAACGTGGCGTTTTCACCAGCAGTGCAGATATGTGCTTTACCCCAAGGGAGGTTTTATTTTAAAAAGTTATAATCGCCTACTGTTTTATAGCATGTTCATGTACAGCTGACCTCCTACTGGACATCTGTGCAACAGAGCTTCATAGATAATCGGATTTCTCCAAGATAAAGATTCTCATCTGATTCTGTAAAAAAAATCCATTGGCTGTATCTTAACTATAGTGGATTGTTTAAACGTGTATTAACTCTGCCTTATGCATGTATGGTACACCAAAGTAAAATTGTAGTTGGAATAATCATACCTGTCCACCCATACGGTTTACCCGTATTCTTGTACAGGGAAATTGACGGCGTGCAACCGTTTCAATACGGGCAAAAACGTGTCGATTTGTGTTTCTCCCTTGTGGATGGGACTGTGTAGGATGAACGTTGAGATTTTTAAGGGCACGGGGTGACCAATAAGGTCTGAACTGGTCTGTATAAGGTAGGCACAGATAAGAATGACAGGTATGGAATATTGTGGTGGAGAATAGCAGGGATGTTTCAAAACATGATAATGGTTGTGCTTTATAACGTGACCGCGTTTTTTGATTGAATAATGTACTTATGGAAATACGTAGATATCAACGTTATTTTGGATATCAATTTTTCATTGCCACAAACGTTGAATTAAAACATACAATTTCCTGTGTTGTGTACTCTGCTTGACGCCTTTTATGGGCAGAAAGTGTGACCACTAACTTCATTCTTTGCGTTTGAAGCTGTTTTCTGTACGGAGAACGTAGAACCACTGCAAGCAAGCACAGTAAACCGGGCTAAAGATCAACAACTGATAAACATCGAGATAAATGGCCTTTGGGTCAACTGGGCTGGCACAGTGCTTACAATTCCCGTAGCCTGGGTCGAATTCCAACGCTTGTGTGCTTAAGCATGCCCTATTTTCACTACTACAGCTCTACTATCTTGCTGGGGATGATGTTTGTGCAAATGGGCAGGATTGTTCAATCGTCACCGCGTATGTGCGTCCAACAGTAATAAGTAATATATATAAAACTTTTTTTTTAAACGCTTTAATGAAATGTACCGTACTAGTAATGGAATAACTCCATGACTCCAGGAAGTGGACCCGAAGCCAACGTCAGTTTACCGTGGACAATTAGACCCAAGCCGAAAGATAACATATAATAAAGAATGTTTTAAAATGTGTTTTTTTTATGATAGAATATAGTATTGTCATCAGGAGGACATAAGTATACCAAGTTTGCAGTCGATACCACACTGGGAAGTGGGTTAAAATTGAGTTACAAGGTTTGAGGATACAACAACAGAGTGAGTTCAATGAAAGCGTGTCAAAATAGATAACACCCACAGTAGATAGGCAGGTTGGGTAAATTGGGGACTCCACTCTTCCAATGACGTCTATCCACAATGAGGGCAAGAAGGTCCCTCTTTCCAGCAGTGGTGTGAACTAATATAATGAATTGAAGGGCTTGCGCCAGGTTTGTAGCTCGCATAACGTAGTTCATGCACTCCCAAAATAGATGCCTTGCAATACCCGTGGTAGTCTGGATCTCATACGCTGTTAGTGTGGATCGTCATTTCAAGGGCTCCTTAATAAGGCAACGGATTCGAACGGGAGCTTTGACACGTACAATCTGCCCTCCCAATTCCCCGCACTGTTTTTGCTGATGCAGACTTTGGACTCTGCTGACAGCAACTGCTTGTTGGATCGAAACTAAAACAACATCTTTGGAGCATCAACCCAACATTCAGGCCACGTGAACTCCACGTTTGCAGAAACGCGCGTTTCACAGTATTTGGCTGCTATAAATGTCCACGTGATAAGCCACTTCGTTGAGCTATCATTTGTGGCCAGGTCGCTTCTGAAAAAACAGCTATACAGCTCAGTGGGACATTACCTGGTATAGTTTGTACTAAATTAGCACATGCAAGTGTAGAGTGCGTACGGGGACGTTAGAATTGAGTCTGGGGTGGGGGTCACGGAAAGGACAAAGCGGCCATACTCACAGGAAGAAGGGGTGGTTGGCATGGAATGTGGGGAGATTTGGGCTTGGGGGAAGGGAAAACCTACACACATACCAATTGGTGGGGAAGAGGAGAGTGGATATGAGGTGGGAGGCATAGCGAATGGGGCTACGGGGAATAAGAGGAGGCTCTTTGTCCAAAACTGTTCGTGCTGGATAAGTGTTCGTGTTGGTGCCCTTCGGAACAATACGGTCCCCTTACTTCGGACGATCCGTGTGGAATCATCTTTCGTAAGCATGACTTTGGAACTAGCCTTCACGTTTTTAATGCGATGTACGGTCCATGAAGATGTGTTTTTTTGCAAGCAAACTATCTCGGCGTTGGTCTTGTGAGTGCCGCCGTAGGTCGACAGGTTTATTTTTTTTTGGTTGAAACTTTCTGCTGGATTGCAAGATGCCATTGTTGTTGCACGTGCGTTCCATAACGTTTGAGATAGACATACGTACAGGAAACGCGTTTTCACCAGCAATAATATAGTGCGTGTACTGCAAATTGTCCTTCATGTATAATGTAGGTTTCGGTTTTTTTGGGGGTTAGATCGCGTAAATATTAATGTTTCGTTAAACCCGACGCCCACCAATTCGTAAGGTTTGTCACGTACACACAGAACTTGCCAATTCGTTGACTAGTACAGCACAACCGGTGTGGTGTTGGAGAGCAAATCCACAACATTTAAAGAAATTGGCATGCTCTGTTTACGTGACAAACTTTACTAATTGGCTGTGTCGGGTGGTGGCGGGTTTAACGACACTTTTATATTTACGCGATTATAACCCAACAAAAAAAAACCTACATTGTAGATGATATTGGTCGCGAAAGCTTCCGTGTTAGACTGTCCTTCGTGTGCTTTTTAATGCGACCATAATTCGTATAACTTTATTGAACACATGGGAGAGCGGGGCGGTGCGTCTTATAATCCGGTACGCGTGACCATATCAAAATAACTTTATTGAACACATGGGGTTGCGTCTTATAATCCGGTACGTGTGTTGCCATATTAAAATAACTTTATTGAACACATGGGAGAGCGGGGAGGTGCGTCTTATAATCCGATACGTGTTGCCATATTAAAATAACTTTATTGAACACGGGAGTGCGTGTTATAATCCGGTACGTGTGTTGCCATATGAAAATAACTTTATTGAACACATGGGAGTGCGTCTTATAATCCGGTACGTGTGTTGCCATATGAAAATAACTTTATTGAACACATGGGAGTGCGTCTTATAATCCGGTACGTGCGACCATATCAAAATAACTTTATTGAACAACTTTTCGTTCACTTCATTTGGCTTGCTGGTTTGCTTTCAAACGCCACGCTTTGCAAACGTAAACACCGCCTCTATATTTGTATATTTTCTCACTTAGTTTTATATTTATTCGCTTTTCTCCCTCTCTCTGCAGCAGCAGCTGAACGGTAGAAGCCGCCTACTGAACAATAAAACAAAAACTTTGCCCTGTACGAGAAAACCCTCCACAAATGTGTCCGCGTTCTGTAAAGTTTGCCTGATTGTATTATCGTTACGATACGGAACTTTAGGAGTCGTCGTCGTCTAAAACAATCGTGTTTAAAGTGTTGTGTTTTTTCTGCCAAGAAACGCAACTGCAGAATGGCGACCGTGTTGATGATGATGAGAAGTGTTCATCACCAGCAGCAGCTCGCCGGTGAGGTTCATGCTGCTGCACGTGCGGGCGGGGGTACGTTCTGTTTGCAGTTGTGGGGGGCTTAGTTTGTTTACGCAGTTGTGGGGGGCTCAGTTTTTTACGCAGTTGTGGAGGCTTTGTTTATGCAGTTGTGGGTGGGGGGCTCAGTTTGTTTACGCAGTTGTGGGGGGGGCTTAGTTTGTTTATGCAGTTGTGGGGGGGGGGTTAGTTTGTTTATGCAGTTGGGGGGGGGGGGGCTTAGTTTGTTTATGCAGTTGTGGGGGGGGCTTAGTTTGTTTATGCAGTTGTGGGGGGGGGGTTAGTTTGTTTATGCAGTTGTGGGGGTGGGGGGCTCAGTTTACGCAGTTGTGGGGGGGGGTTAGTTTGTTTATGCAGTTGTGGGGGGGGGGTTAGTTTGTTTATGCAGTTGTGGGGGTGGGGGGCTCAGTTTACGCAGTTGTGGGGGGGGGCTTAGTTTGTTTATGCAGTTGTGGGGGGGGGCTTAGTTTGTTTATGCAGTTGTGGGGGGGGCTTAGTTTGTTTATGCAGTTGTGGGGGGGCTTAGTTTGTTTATGCAGTTGTGGGGGGGGCTTAGTTTGTTTATGCAGTTGTGGGGGGGGGCTTAGTTTGTTTATGCAGTTGTGGGGGGGGCTTAGTTTGTTTATGCAGTTGTGGGGGGGGGTTAGTTTGTTTATGCAGTTGTGGGGGGGGGCTTAGTTTGTTTACGCAGTTGTGGGGGGGGCTTAGTTTGTTTATGCAGTTGTGGGGGGGGCTTAGTTTGTTTATGCAGTTGTGGGGGGGGGCTTAGTTTGTTTATTATACAGTTGTGGGGGGCTCTATTTATGCAGTTGTGGGGGGCTCTGTTTATGCAGTTGTGGGGGAGGGGCTCAGTTTGTTTACGCAGTTGTGGGGGGCTCAGTTTGTTTATGCAGTTGTGAGGGGGAGGTTAGTTTGTTTATGCAGTTGTGGGGGGCTCAGTTTGTTTACGCAGTTGTGGGGGGCTCAGTTTGTTTATGCAGTTGTGGGGGGGAGGTTAGTTTGTTTACGCAGTTGTGGGGGGCTTAGTTTGTTTACGCAGTTGTGGGGGGACTTAGTTTGTTTATGCAGTTGTGGGGGGACTTAGTTTGTTTATGCAGTTGTGGGGGGGGGGGTTAGTTTGTTTATGCAGTTGTGGGGAGGGGGTTAGTTTGTTTATGCAGTTGTGGGGGGCTCTGTTTATGCAGTTGTGGGGGGGGCTCAGTTTACGCAGTTGTGGGGGGCTCAGTTTTTTACGCAATTGTGTGGGGGGGTTAGTTTATTTATGCAGTTGTGGGGGGGGGGTTAGTTTGTTTATGCAGTTGTGGGGGGCTCTGTTTATGCAGTTGTGGGGGGGCTCAGTTTGTTTATGCAATTGTGGGGGGATTATTTTGTTAAGGGGCCGTCCATAAATGACATCACGCACCGAGAGGGGGGGGAGGGGGGTCAGACATTTGTGACGATGTGTGACGAGGGGGGGGGGGGTTTGAGAAATGTGACGTCACATCAAAATGCGCAACTTTAAAATAATATTAATCAAATAGAATTTGTTACAACACTAATTTAGATTATTAAAATTTACTAATGTCACCGTTCATTTATTCCATGAAGGAGCATTTTTCTTTTCCATGGGAGAATGTAGAAGCATACATTTTGTTAATTTTTTGAATAATTGTTATTAAACATTTTGATTCTAATGATTCTACCAGGGCTTTTCATTCTGTGGAATGAATATGTGATTGTTATAAGTGTACTCTCTATTTTTCTTCGTTCTACTACAAAGTTTAAAGTATTTTTTATAGTTAGAATTACTTTTAATATTTTAGAATTATAAGACAATTTCATTATAATATTCTGAACATCTGCAGTTTTAGTTAGACGTTGAATATTTTCAAGTGAATTTTATGCTAAATTTCAGCTTTCCAACGCCTCCTTTTTAATAAATGTTTTCTTCTCCAACATCAGAGTGCAGGGCCACATTAAATACGTACTACAATGACAATAGTTTTAGTTTAAAGTGATTTGAAGCATGTTTTATTTTCAAAATGGAAATATGGTTTTGGGGGGGGGGGGGGGCAAAGCTTTGTGACGTCATTTGAGGGGGGTCTGACTTTTTGTGACGAGGGGGGGAGGGGTCAAAAATCGGCCAAAATCGCGTGACGTAATTTATGGACGGCCCCTAATGCAGTTGTGGGGGGGAGGGGCTTAGTTTGTTAATGCAATTGTGGGGTTGGGAGGTTGACTGGTGAGTGAAGTGTATCTTTAATCTCGTGATTAGCGCGTGGATTTTCAAACACAAAGCGAGAAAGAAACGAGAAATGAAGAGCGATGGCCAAAATGTTTTAAATGACGGCAATTATTTAATAACTTTCGATTGACAGTGGGGAAGTCCAACACACTACAGGACTAGACTTGCCACGAATAGGACAACTTCCTCCTAAAGTTGTACTTCGCTTTAAGCAAGATTTGGGTGCTAAACGATTGCACACATATATATATCATCCTTGTCGAGAGTAAACCAAGTAACCATACCTGTCAAACCCTTATCAGCGCCTGTCTTATTACAGACCAATTCAGACCTTATTGGTCATCCCGTGCCTCTTATAAATCTCAACGTTCATCCGAGAAAGTCCCATCACAAGGGAGAAACACAAACAAATAGACAAAGAACGTTGCCCCTATTGAAACGGCTGCACGCCGTATGGACCTAGAAACTCAATTTACCTGTACAAGAATACGGGGTAAAGCGTCTGTGTTGACGGGTTACGAAGTGCAGAGGAGTCAATTTGTCTACACTGCGATATGAATAGTGAAGAGCGACCTCATGCCGCTGTTTTACCCAGTACATACAGAGGCCCCGATGTTAACCCACTGCTTAAAATGCATTATTTTAAACTGATTAATCTCATGACGTGTCATTGGGACAAAAATTGGTGTTGAAAGCCAATGTTTTTGGTTTTCTAACAATGCCTGTTATTTACCCAGAAAAGCCTTGCTAAGTGTTCTGCACTACTAAAATACCCTATTAACATTGCGTTATAATTGTAGCTCTATAATGTTTTATAAATATATATAGACACAGTATATTTAGTTCGCAAAACTACGTTTTTTTCATCATGCCGTCAAAGTGAATTGAATTGCCCATGAGGAATAGTGGAGTTGACTGGACTTTTTTTTTACGGAATGGCAGTTGTCCACTTTTTGACACGAAGGGGCTTTCCTCACCGCCTCATGTCAAGTTAGAAGAAGATCGATCATTCTGTCGGCCCGCCGTTTGCATTTTAGAGCTTTTCAGTTCAAGCCCTCGTATCGTTATCAGCCTAACCATACATTCCACCATCGGGTCAGATAGTGATGTTGTTGGAGCACTGTACACCCAAAAAGGAACATTGTAGATTCATTTCTAGTAATGGAACAATTTCCACCCATCACCACCCACACACCGAGCAAATGGTCCATGAGTCGTCCCAATTTTTGATTTTTTAATTAGCAGTGATTAGCACCTCTATTGGTTGCAGGAGTGACACGGACCTATTGTGTACAACCTATTTTAATCTAACAACATTGATTCCGACACATGTGTTTGATTCATGTATTGTGAATTTAAGAATTAATATCGATGGATCGATGCATTCTTCAGTTAATCTCAACCCAACATGAGTACATTGATAGAGCCTGCCAAAAATGAGACCTGGAGAGATGAAACCAAGTTCAAGTTTCATTTATTTGGTATAGCCCTGTAAGCCATGCGGCTCTTAAGTCGGGTGCAACCGCAACAAACAAAATATGAACACAGAACATCTTAAAGCGATGACACGTAACAGAAAAATCCTGGAATAAACCGGCAAATATAAAAAAAGCATTAAAACGCCGTGTGCAAAAATCCCAATGTGGTGCAAATCAACAATAAAATCCATAAGACAATTTAGATTAACCATATGTTTTCGAACCGCCAAAATAACGCTTTAACAACAATGTAACAACAGTAATCATAGGAAGTGTGATTCAAATTTAACAATAAACGATATACATAACACGTAAGACCAAAATTGCAGCCATAGCTGGCAGCATGACACCAGCGGGACGTGACACGTGGAAATCTAACCGCGTCTTGCGCGGTCAACCTCAACAGGTGATCTCTCCCCACAGTTCTCCTAGGCTGGGGTTAAACTAGGGCTAATTTATTATCGATTCCAAAAGTCTCGGAATGGATGATGAAATCCAGTTGCATTTTTATTCGCAATGTAACTGATCGACACCGGCGAACGTTGAAGCTGCATGACGTGTTGAAATATGATTGGTCAGGAGCCGTCATCATATGACACCGCTGGCTGGGCTCTTCGGTGAGCACGTGGTACGTTTGAACAGACACCAAGACGCACACGTGGCTGGACCACAGTATTACGTTCATTGTTAGACAATTCAGAATATATGTTCGGCAAACCGAATGCAGTTATGTATGTATGTTGGAATTCTTTCGCACCGTACGTAGCCGACCGTGCTAATTGGAGGTGCGGGGGTTAGTGCTAAAAGTTATGAACTGAAATTAAAAACTTGTTATTTAACTGGTAGCATGGAAGGGTGGTCCAAACACCCTTTAGCGGTGCTCTTTCTCGACTGCCTTCCAGTGGCGACATTTCCACCAGCAGTGGTATGAGCAAGGAATTGCATGGCTGCACCCTCACCCTACTTTAATAAATGGTATCTGCCTCACCTGTGTACTCGTGCGTGTGTGTGGGCACAGGGCTGCGTGGGACGATCGCCTTGTTGGGGCGGCATCTGTTGTCCGGGCGTATCGCGATGAGCACAGGGCCCACCTACGAGACGCTGTTGGTTACCAAGCCCAAGGATCACGTGGTTCATGTGGAGATCAACCGACCAGAAAAGCGCAACGCCTTGAACCAGCCATTCTGGAAGTAAAATGATGAGACAAGCCATATTTGTCAATATATATATATTTTTGAAGTCTTAAATTCCATTTCCCAAGACTGCCTTTGTCATCATAACTTTCACTCTACTGATTCCCGTACCTCCCATTAGCACGGTTGGCTACCTATGGTGCAAAAGAAGTTTAACATCCATACCTTCCTCCACCAACGTTGAGGACTCGGTCTGCCAGACTGACTGCTTCGGCTCATCCACACTCTTCTTTCTGCCTCTTATTTTGCACAGCTAGACTTGAGAATACCTTCCCATTGTCTCATTACCCACGTTCTTCTTCTTGGTTCTTTCGGTAAAGTCACATAGAAGGGAAGTAATAAAATAATAAAAAGAAAACAATATAATAATATAAAATAAAAATATTTTTTTATGTTTTTTTATTATTTTATTACTTCCCTTCTACGTGACTTTACCGAAAGAACCAAGAAGATGAATCCCTGCAGTCACGAAAGCTTTAAATCGAAATTTACCCACGTTCTTATAACCTTGCTCTATTCAGGAAACATTAACTGCTATGTGATCTTGCTGATTGTTGCAGGATGATTTGTGTTTTGGGCCTCTGCTTGATAACTCTGATTTCAAAAAATGTGTGCCCTGCGATTCCACAACCAAGATGTACTCTTGACACCTACAGTCAAGCTCAGCTTGATGGGAGGGGATACTCCTTACCCTCTGCTGTCCCTGTTATCTGTAATACCAACTCGTGACTAACAACTCTTTCCCAGTTTTAAAGTTCAGGCTCCTTTTTGCATACCATTACATTTTTGTCTCTAATCCTGAGCAAACGTTATTTTATTAAAATAGATCTTAGTGTCTCCACATTCAAATACATTTTTGGCAGTGATTTCATTCCTCTGGCAGCCCTCAGCCTGTGGTGTAAATTACATGTTCCCTATGTCTAGCGTCCACTCTACAAAGACCACCCACTGTTGACTTAAACTTTTACGTATAGACCCCCATATGGATAATGAACTGAGTTGAACTCACAACCAGAAGTTGCAACTCAAGGCGACGCCTGGCTGATGTGACCCAATAACCCAACCATGATATAGATGTTTACCTTCATATGCTCTGTCTGTGCTCTGCGTGCATGCTTGATTTTACTGTATCCGATCTGACCTGATACTGACGTGACTGACAGGGAAATGGTGGAATGCTTCAATCACATCGCAGACGATAAAGAGTGCCGTGCGGTGGTCGTGTCTGGATCTGGGAAGGTGTTCAGTGCAGGTGACCCGAACAATACATCGGAGAGCTGTGCACACAACCGGAGAACACAACTCCGCAAAAACCTACGCAATGGTGCTTCACATTATTTCTAACTAGATTTGGCAGCGCCTTTGATTTCATCCTGCCACCTCGGTTATGTACAGAGGAAGGTGACCATGTACGCTTCATCATTGTACAACTTTTAGTTCTTTATTTAAATGTTGAATGGGGGACAGAAATTTTAATGCGTAAATATTATAATATGCACATGTACAGACCTTTGTCAATGCCCTGCTGTATAAGGGTCTCCCCAATCCATGCGGGGCAGGGGGCTTGTTTGATCTTACTTCACAACACTCGTCATTGCGGGTTTGTAAAGGTGGGGGTGCACAGATGCGGTGGCATAGAAGTACATGACAATGGATTTTGCTGTACCAATCTGTGCTGCCCGCAATGTAGCTCCGCAACCTATATCACCTGTGCTATCCAGGTTCAATCGAGCGTAACTTCCAAAATCTGACAATATTAGGTCTGTTCTGGGTGATTTAATCAAGCGCACAATATCTTAAAAGTATTTCTTTCCGAAAATGTTCCATAAAGTGACACTTTTTTTTTTAAACACATTCCTGCGGAGGGAGCTGGTAGGAACGTTGGGTTGCTCGGTCAATGGCCAGGGTCAACGGCGGCGTGGTGTATTCCGCAAATATGCCCGACTGATGGCGGGCACAAGCCGGCGTGAGTAGGTTAAACGTTGAGTTTTATAAGGGCACCACGGGGTGACCAGCCCCTCCCTCCCCAGCCCCACCCCTCCCCACCCAGCCCCTCTCCTCCTCCCCTCTCCACCCAGCCCCATCCTCCCCACCCAGCCCCTCTCCACCCAGCCCCTCCCCACCCTCCCCTCTCCACCTAGCCCCACCCAGTCCCTCCCTGCACGACGGACGGACACAATAATCCCCTGTGGGCTGGTGGAACCAGTGGATTCCTACCAGAATAAGGCTCGGGGTATATGATGCTGCCATGCATTGGCTCACACGTGAGCCTACAACTGATTCTAAGAGAACACTTAATTGAACGTGCAAGGTAAGTAGTTTAAAACGGGCCAGATAGAATGGTCTGTTGCTCCGCAATCACCATTTGTCTTAATAGGACATTTACATTGGATATTGAGCACGTAAATTTGTCTATTAGGCATCGACCTTGTGGACATAACGGGCGACCTGGTAACGCCGGAGGGAGATGATGCAGCTCGAGTTGCTTGGAACCTGAAGCAGGTCATCAAGTTGTACCAGGAGGCCTTCAACGTCATTGAGAAGGTGGGTCCCACTCATGGACAAACTAAGCAACTTGCGCTGTGGTCTGCAGTTTCCATGCAATTTGTGGTTTGTCGCTATATTAATTGTCACATTCTAATACAGCCCAAAGCAGAACCCTAAACACGTAAATGAAATCAGGAGAAGCGATAATACTCTTCGTTATACTGGTAGGAACCTCCTGGTTACACCAGCCCACAGGGCATTATTGTGTCCGTCCGTCGTGCAGGGAGGGGCTGGGTGGGGAGGGGAGGGTGGGGAGGGGCTGGGTGTGGAGGGTGGGGCTGGGTGGGGAGGGGAGGGTGGGTAGGGGCTGGGTGGGGCGGGTGTGGGGAGGGGCTGGGTGGGGAGGGGCTGGGTGGGGGGTGGGAGGGGTGGCGCTGGGTGGGGAGGACCTGGTCACCCCGTGGTGCCCTTATAAAACTCAACGTTTCACCTACTCATGCCGGCTTGTGCCCGCCCTCACAGTCGGGCATATTTGCGGGACAAATTGGGCCCACTGCCCCACCTAGGTGGAGACCGCGAGCGGGTGCATGCACTTTTTTTAAGAGGGGGCGGAGGGCAGAGGTCGCAAACTGGTTTTGATTCCTTACCCGTACCCGGCCGCACCAGGGTCGCAAACGGGTACCCGTACTCGTACCCGGCCGGGTAGGGTACCCGTACTCAATACCCGGCCGGGTACGGGTAGCCGGGTACGGGTATCGGGTACCCGATTGCGACCTCTGGAATGAAGCCATGTTGCAGGCGCGGGTGGGTTGATTCTAGAAACTTGAATTGTGAGAAGAGACAAGACGTTGGGAAATGAGTGACAAACGGTTACTCACCAGTAACTCACGGCCTACCCGTACCTGGCCGCACCAGGGTCGTAAACGGGTACCCGTACCCGGACGGGTACGGGTAGCTGGGTATCGGGTAGGGTACGGGTATCAGGTACCCGATTGCGACCTCTGGCAGAGAGGTAAGATAAGGGAAGAAGAACTCAAGTGAAGGGGTAAAGGAGACAGGGAGAGCTCGCTTATTTTTCAATCCTTTATATTAAGTTCGCTTGCTTGCTTGCGTGCTTGCTTACGACCGTGAAAACCTTTCGGTCGTTTTTTAACCCACTTCCCGTGATCCAATCGAGCTGACATTTTGCACACAGACTCGTTGTGCGAGACAATTAATGTTCGTGAAAAAAAAATCCAAAATTTTACACTTTAGGGAAAACAAATTAAATATTTAATTACCAATTGTTTAATACTGCAGACAATCATCTGACCCATAGGTGGCAGCCATCTCAAGCCAGAGGACGAGAGGACTCTAGCCGCCACGCATATAAAGGATTTAGAGTGAAAAACTTTGTTTTTACGGGTTATACTTATTCTTAACAGGCTGTGGGATGTGAAGAGATTTCAAACTGCCTCCTGCTGCTTCTTGGCAGAGAGACACTTGAACTGCTTTTGTTTCTCTTCCAGTGTTCCAAGCCAGTCATAGCAGCCGTCCACAGCGCTTGTATTGGCGAAGGTAAAAACACAATAAAGAGTGACTTGTTTACCCAGGGAAGACATTTTGAATCCAATGACTCTTTTTCAGAAGAGGCCTGTCTGCATTGTTTTTTTTCTTTCGATGTTTTCAGCCAATTAAGGAGTTTTTACACATGCGGAGGATAAACTGGAGCATGGGGAGAAAATCAATGCGTGTGAAAGGGGAAACACTCTTTTCCATACAGGTGGAACAGATGGAGATTAGACCACAATTACTGTACCGCTTTCTCATCATACGCTGACTCGCACGTCATACACTCACTCACACTACCACTGACTTACTTGCACATCATACACTGGGAGTGTCATGCTGCCAGCTATGGCTGCAAGTTTGGTTGTACATGTTATGTATATCGTTTATTGTTAAATTTCAATAACAGTTCTTATGATTACTGTTGTTACATTGTTTTTATAGCTTTATTTTGGTGATCTCGAAAACATATGGTTAAGCCATGTTTCTTGCGGAAGTGCGGAGTTGGCCTGTTAACTTTAATCTAAATTGTCTTATGGTTGTTATTGTTTGACTTGCATCACACTGGGATTTTTGCACACAGCGTTGTAATACGGTGGGTTTTTTCTGGAAGATTTGCTGGTTTATCCAGGATGTTTCTGTTGCGCATCGTCGCTTTGGGATGTTCTCTGTTCATATTTTGTTTGTTGCGGTTGCACCCGACTCAAGAGCCGCATGGCTCACAGGGCTATACCTAATAAATGAAACTTGAAAGAAAAACTCCAATATCAGGGTATGACACCTCATAGCCGACAGAAAGAGAGCTTCACGACATTTGTGTGATCCACCAGCCCTCGCCTTCACAGTGCTGTACACAGGCACCGCCCGGCTAAATGTCGTCGGTCGTATCCAGGCGTTCAATTTAAAATGCATGAGTTTGACAGGCAGTTGTATTCTTAATTTTAGTTGCATATTCACAGTGATGATTTTAACGTTAAAGTCAGAATTAACTTCCTGTAGCTCGTTAGAAATGCATCTCAGCAGAGTCTTGTTCTTCACTTTACTGGCCTGGAGGTGGTGCTCTTAAACATATTCTGTGCACTAAAGTGGAGCGGTGGTGCAGTGGTTCACGCATTATCTTACGAACGCAGAAATATGAGTTCGATTCCTGGCTATGACTAACGTCAGTAAAAAATAAAAATGGGAATCATTGAATGAGTTGTTTTTGTGAAAACCGTCGAAACGTTTCCTTTACAAAAGTAGTTAATGGCATATCCATAATTAAATGCACAATGAGCAGTACTCATACCAAACTGGTGGACCTGAAGCATTGGTGGATCCAATATTTTACATTCCCATTACATCACACCCTCTGTCGAGTTTACACAAAGCGGTACATATTTTATCGACCACGGAAGGATGATAGGCCGAGTGAACCTCCCGAATGGATATTCATTCTTCAAGTTCCTATTGTGAGTTGGGCACTCAAACGATACCACCATCTGACAATTTGTTTAAATAAAGCGTAAAACAGTATGTGAATTGATAAATATTGCTATTTTTTGTTTTTATAAAAGCAAAAGCTATGTTGTTGTTTCAGGTTTGGACATGATTTCAGCATGTGACATCCGTGTGTGCACAAAGGATGCCTGGTTCCAAGCAAAGGTAGAATCGTATGAGAGTTTTTATTTACATAGAACACCAGACTGTACAACGCAGTACAGTCCAGTGTCACATATCCAACTCACCACTGAACGAGGTCCAGGCGGGTATGTGAAGAGTATATTGCTATATGGTGGTGTACTGTATATGTTAGAGCAGCTTTCATAGCGGAAGCTCACAACATGCATGCTAAAAATAGTGAAATATCAGTATGAAATTCAAGGGTACATTATATCAATGCAAAGTATTGTCATCTATAACGCTCTTAAGTTAATTTTCTTTATCTGTTACAATGTCTATTGTAAAGGGTGGGTCGAGACGCCTTGTGACCCCCATTTAAATCTGTCAAACGTAATATTTTTTGTAAAATAAGGTTTATTTAAAACAGAAATTAACATGGTAAGTAAAAAAACATGTTAGGGGTCAATTAATTGTGGGAGGGGGACACAATACATCTGGACCGCCCTCTACATTCAGGTACCAAACGACCATATAAAAAAAAAAGAGTCTTAGAACAAGTGAAGTTTTATTTTTAAATGGGATTTTTTTGTTAACAACAGTCCGATTAGCGCGGTTGGCTACGTACGGTGCGAAAGAAGTTAAACATAAATACTGTTACACATGTAGGCTTTCGTGACCAATATCATCCATAATATAGGTGTTTTGGTTTAGATCGTGTAAATATTAATGTGTCGTTAAACACACCACCACCTTACACAGCCAATTAGTATGGTTTGTCACATAAACAGAACATGCCAATTCATTACTAGTACAGCACGCCGGTGTGTTGGAGAGCAAATCCACAACATTTACAATCGGTGTTTACGTGACAAACCTTACTTATTGGCTGTGTCGGTTGGTGGCGGGTTTAACGCCACATTTACGCGATCTAACACAAAAAAAAATCTATTATGGATAGATACATGCTGCTGGCGGAAGGTCCTCCACTAGAGGGAGCGCGAGAGGGTATTTAACCAACTCGTCCACGATGGCCAGATGTCTTGGAAGAGGTGGTAGTTACCCACACTCTACCTCCTCTCACGCGACCTGCCTGTCAGATAACTGTGAAGTACCCATTTCTACTGCTGGTTTGACAAACGTCGGTGGGCGGGGGGGAGGTTTAAGAATCCTTCCCCATTTGGTTCCACTGCCGCGCCAGGAAATTGAACTGGCGACCTCCTAATCGCAAGTCAGGAGTGTTGCTATCCATTGTACCACGGCAAGTTCAAAACTTTTATCATGGGTCAACTTTGCTGTCAAGAGGTAGATGCGCAATAGTGAGCTAAGTCAACGTATTTCCCCGCTTAAATAAGCAAGAAAGGTCCTCTTCTTCTTGGTTCTTTCGGTAAAGTCACGTAGAAGGGAAATAATAAAATAATAAAGATAAAACATAATAAAATAATTTTCACGACGTTTTGGCCACAACGCAAGCAGCCGTCCTCAGGTCAAGAACAGGTCTGTCTTTCCGACAGACCTGTTCTTCACCTGAGGTCTTTCTGACAGACCTGTTCTTCACCTGAGGACGGCTGCTTGCGTTGTGGCCGAAACGTCGTGAGAATTATTTTATTATGTTTTATTATTTTATTATTTCCCTTCTCTGTGACTTTACCGAAATCACCAAGAAGATGAATCCCTGCAGTCACGAAAGCTTTAAATCGAAATTTAAAGGTCCTCTTCTCTCGACAGCCATAAATCACTGGTGGAAATTTAAGCCTATGCAGTCCTATAGAGTTGAGTATCACTTTGTGGATAATCCACAGTGGTCATTCTACGGAAAGATTGGCCCCTGCCGTGGGAATGTGGAATATCTATCACTAGCTCAGAGCCACCAGTGGAGGTAAGGGCAGCTTCTCTATTGTTTGAGCGAGGAACCACACCAACGTGTATTCACAGATTAATGCTAATCTCTCCAATGTCCTATTACTGACTCCAGTGTGTGTGCTATTAGGAGGTGGACATTGGCCAAGCAGCAGATGTTGGAACCTTGCAACGCCTGCCACATGCTATTGGCAGTCGCAGGTAAACAATCGTATTCCTGCAGTGACTTTTTTATTATTCTAAAATACTCTGTTTAGTATGTTAATTGATCCTCTTAAATGTACCTGTCAATGCTCAATATTAAGTGGTAAGCCTCGTGTGTCTGCATCTGTATGAAATTAAGTTCCCGGCTCGTGAGCTAGAGGTTCTCCACTCCCGCAATAGATGCCACTCTATCATCTCATCGGGTCAATAAAACAAACGCAACTTTGCGGGAAGTCAACAGTGGGCATTTTTTGTTTAAAACTGGCCCCTGCCATCGGAATGTGGAATTTGCATGTTTGGCTCAGAGCTGCCAGATAACTACGTGCAGCCCTTGTTCATGAGTATGGAGAAACTCGTATGCTCTTTAATCAGACACTGGAGTTATTAGTATTTCATTGGAATAATTAGGAGCTTCCAACATCAGTGTTTTGTGTGACACTGGGACAATAACGATGGCACCATCCACACACCAGTCTGCATTCTCAGCCGCTGTCCTCAACCTCTAACACTTGGTTTGCATTCCTTATTAGCCTGGTCTGTGAGATGGTGTTCACAGCACGCAAGATGTTTTCTGATGAAGCAAAGAGCAGCGGCTTGGTCAGGTGAGTAGAACTTCCAGAGTGCAGGTCTGTTAAACGTTTGTGTGAACACAACATTGTTTTGTTTTTTTATCGAACCAATGGGTTAAAACTGATTACCGCTGCACTCGCATTCACAAGTTGAAATGCGGTGCACGGGTATCATTGTCTCTCAGTGATTGACAAAATGAACACCACTTTCTATTTCGTAAATCGTGAATTTTCAACGGATATACATACCACCACCAAGGGAATGTGCAATTTCCACCATTTGCAAGTGAGAGGTTATGGCTTGTCCTACTAATGGGGATGAGTGCCACTCCCTTGCACATTTGAGCAGGGGGGGGATTTTACTTGGTGTTATAAAACGTGTGTGTGTATCGCATAACACCAAGTGCCATAAAATACTAACTATAGCATTAGTTTAGCTCTCTGATGTTTTATTCTGGTTGTACTGTATGTTGTTTGGCATGATGTCCTCGTACTGAAGAAGCTGCCAGCACATTGTTATGTATTTATTATTCTTGTTTACCCAGGAAAGCCTCGCCGAGTTTTCCGACTCGTTCATGATGGTCCTGTAAAGTTTTCGCAGTAGGGGGCAGTGATCACTTGGTTTAAAACAGACATCATGCCAAACAACACACGGTACAACCCGAATACACATTGGAGAGCTACGCAGCACAACCATGAAAACCTACGCAGTAGTATATCCTTAGTTTGCTATTCTTAATGCTACAAAACTGAAGATGTTGTCGCACGGATGTAGAATCATTTCAACAAACCCAGCCGGAACGACACACCGCACAGCTGGAATTGAAGATGCCTTCATTTATTTCAGCAGCCCTTGCACAGTGTCAGATGCATTGACATGGGAGAAAATCTTCCCTCCGTTGCACGTGTGTGTCTCTGTCCTCCACAGCCGCGTCTATGACAACAAGGCCAGCATGATGGAAGGGGGCCCTGCAGTTGGCCGAGGACATCGCCAGCAAGAGTCCTGTGGCCGTGCAGGGCAGCAAGGTCAACCTGCTGTACGCACGTGACCACTCTGTCCCCGAGTCTTTGGAATACATGGTGAGTGCGTGCAATGTTTCGTGATAATAATTAATGGAATTGTATCCAGGAAAGCCTCAGGATATCTTTGTCTGATGAGTGCAGGCTGCCTGGAACATGGCCATGCTGCAAACTAACGACATCATGAAGTCGGCAACGGCCGTCTTTCAGAAGAAAAACCTCAAGGAGAACATTTACACCAATCTGTGATGTTGTTTTGTTCGAACACAGTGGCATTTACAGAGGCAAGCAGGGCTCTAGATGCAAAAGCTTTGGATAACAATTGTTATTTTGGTAATAATGAACAGTAATTCATAGTCTGATGTAAATCTACTGCTGGTTGAAGGCCTCCCTGATACCGTGCAGGTCGTGGTGGCTATATGGACCATATTTCACCATGCTGATCCGTGCGGGATGGCAATGGTGAGATTCCTAGACTGGGACCAGTTGAGATATGACTTGTCACTGATGTTGGCCATGGCTGGGAATTGAACTCGAGTGGTTGGCTTCAGAGTGCAGTCTGCTATAATGTTAAAAATGAAAATGACCAGTTAGCAGGATTCCCTAAGGCTGACACAACTGTTGATTTATTTACAAGGACAAGGTCAGTTGAGCAGTGTTGGGATGGTTACTTTTGACCAGTAGTTCACCCCAGATAACTGATTCTAAAGCCGTTGCCCAGCTCAAAGTGGAACTCTTGTGTTGTGGGTATGGACTAGTTTATCCATAAGACAACTCTTGGCATCCTACAAAGTAGAATTCATCTACTCAACCTTGGAGATATTTGACCTCTCAACTTTCTGATGGCGTCAGTTCTAACACAGGGCTGCTTTTTAAATGCAGTTATGTTGAGTGTTTCTACGATGTGAACGTTTCCTGGTTGATTTATCAATGGCATTATAATAATTATGCATAGTTTATGTAATTTCGTGTGTCCTCATTTTATGAACAGTCAAAATCTGCTTTATATCAAGTGTTTTTGTTTGCAGAATAAAATTACTTCAATATGTAAAGAAACTCCTTTGCAGGTTCCATTTTATAGACGATTTATTTAACAGTAACCCATTTACAAGGCGAGAGTACGACTAACACGTTCACAAGGCTATGACTATCTGCAGCCCCGGTGGTTTCCACTAATTTAATCTCGAACAGTCCTTGATGGTTTCCACCATGTAGATCTGGGAAAGTCTTTCTGGATGATTTCCACCATATAGATCTTGAACAGTTGGCCCGATGGTTTCCACAATGTCGATTCCAACAGTCGGCCCCGATGTTGTCCACCTGCAGTCGTCCTTCAGTCCCCGAGCCAGCGGGCCTCACTCCCCCTAATATACCCGCTCGGCCACGCCCCGGTAATTTCCAGCACTTTCCCCCGGTAGATTCTTCCAGCAGACTCTACCGTCTTCTACTTCCCTTCTCGAACCTTCCCTCGTACAGTACCCTGCACCTGTTTGAACCTATCTCCACTGACCCCACTATAACCCTTGCCATGTACAATACCCTACAAATGTAATCAACTGATGGGTGCAGCCATGTGGGCATCGTTTGCTAAACATGTGGGCTGACTGATGACACGTGTGTTTTTTATGTTATGGTTAATATTACACGGGAACAAAAATTAACTGACGGATGAAGTCCTCCCCAAATGTTCGTAATGGTGGTTCTATAAATATTCTTCACCACGCTGGTCAGTACTAGGTTTGATGTCTCGTGAATATATCACTCGCTGATCATTTTTATCTGGGTTTGTCGTGCAGTGTGCTAACCACTGTGCCACTGCTCCACCTTTTTGTATAAACTAAATTAGCGGAATTTTTTTCTATATATACCTAATCTGGGTTCAGTATTTTACATTTAGGACTATACAAATCATTCATAACGCCATGTTTTTTTTTCACTATGCAGCATGCAATAGGTTTATTGAATCATAAATACTTTACACTAATTGTGACATCCATGCACTCAAATTTCACATTGACATCTGGGTAAATTGTATTTCCCATCTGACTGGTATCAATGGGAGTCAAAGCCCTAATGCACTTCAGGAAATCAATATTTACAGCTGTGTGAGAGTGAAAACATTACCCTCGGTCTAATTGGGATGTAGACTACACTGTAAAAAAAATGTGTGCATATAAACTGAGCTACCCTGTAAAGAGGAAGACTTGTGTAAAGTTTACATTCTTGATTAAATAAACTTTCACGGAGAGTAAGCAATTTTCCTTCAGTTGGTTATCAAATTATTTCTGGAAAATGTTGGTATACTCTACATATATTTTAGTGCCCTGGTGTGCTTTCGGGTTGTACTGCACGTTCGTTTTGACGTCCGACGTTTCTGTGCACGTTCTGGAACCATCAGAAATGCAATTGAGCAGCTCACGTTCTCTCGGTGAGAGTAGTTAGTGTTAACTGCTGTTGGCATGGCGATGTACAGTACTGTAGATTTCAACATGTTTGTGATATTAACATGCAGGACAACCTGAAAACATCAGTCACCTTGACCTTTTGGGGATAGAAAATAAACATTGCTCTCCTCCACGGCTCTACACTGAACGTCAGGAAAGAGAATTTCTGGGTCCTCTGCCCCCGAAGGATTGTGGGGGAAAGATAAACATCGCCATCGCCGTGTCGATTAGAGGCAATCGATCCTATGAGGGCTTCCCTTTAGTCCTTCGTAATGGCGCACGGCTTGTCCATTGATTTCGGAACCCTTAAAACTCTTGCCTGGTTTCTCCCATTCATATGCCGTACCATGTCCAGCATATGTTAATGGCGTGGCATGCATGCGTGTCGCTTTTGAGACCACCGGCTTGTTAAACACGGCAGGCTTTTAAGCCCTTTATCGCCTATTGAGGCCACCCGCTTTACATAAAAACTAAACTTTTTATTTTTTCAGATAAAGCCCACTGAGCTGTATAGCTCTTTTTCAGAAGTGACCTCGCCACAAATGATAGCCCAACGAGAAGTGGCTTATCACGTGGAAATTAATCGCAGCCAAATACTCTTTAATGCTGGAGGACACGGGGAAAAATCCACGCGAACTTGGGGCGATTACGCAAACTTGAAATATACAGCAGTCGGGATCGAAGCCAGGGCCCTTTTCATACCAGGCGAAGTAGTTAACATCTTGCCACCCTGAGAATTGGTGCTTACCTCCTCCAGGCCCCAGTTAGAATCCTCTAAGATGGAACATTCAATTTTCTCCTTGGACTTAATAATAACAATAAAACCACGTTTTATTAAGCGCCTTTCAAATGAGCATTCTCATCTAAAAAACAACCAATGCAAGGCCCTCTTGAAATAAAACGTCATTAGACTCGGTGTGGCTTTCCTGGATAAATATGTTAAGTGCAAGCCTACACTGATCATTATGCTAGGAGTTGTTGCTCTGGAGATCGGGTGATCATTGACCGATGATCGGTCGCCGGGTTAATGATGGGATGAGTCGTGATTTCTCCCTGAACAGTGGGCCGAGTGAACTCCATTGCACTCTGAAGAAGGATCATTGCCCGAAACGTCGTTTATTATATATTGTTTTCCTTTTAAGGCCATAGTATTATTCAGGAACGTGTTGATGTTTTTTTGCTCTGTGTGCACCACTGGCTAACCCAGTATCACCAAATTCACTACACGGTTGGTTTAATATCGGAGAAGTGGAGGTGACCTTGGGTGTGTGTCGGATCCTGGGCCTCCCCTAGGTCCGCTCAGCTTTAAAATGAGTACCTGGAGCAGTGCGTAAGCATCGCCACTAAGGGAGACTAAGGCGGCCGGGCGTGCGTTGTGTTGGCCACACCAGAATCTGAATATTTATACTGGAGGAATCCGATGAGCTATAAAGTTATTTTTCACAGATGTCCAGTAGAAGCGGGGGTCAGGATGTTACAACAAACGATTTTAACACGTAGGCTTTCGCGACCAATATCCACAACGGGTCTTTTCGGTGAGATCACGTAAATATTAATGTGTCGTTAAACCCGCCATCACCCAACAGCCAATTAGTAAGCTTTGTCACGTAAACAGAACGTGTCAATTCGTTGGCAAACCTCTATTATGGATAAGATACTGAAAAAACACCAACCCACCCACCCCTTCGTGTGCGTTCCGACCTTCAAAGTTGCCACAGTCCTCGCTAACTGCACTCGCCCCAAAAGTCTGTCAAGGCTACACTGTGAGATAGCTTTTTGTCGTTGTGTGTGTGTTGGGTGAACTCAAGGAGGGGGCTAGCAGAGTGTCCATCGCTTTACAGGTGGCTCTACATTCCCACCCTCACCCATGGTCATGAGCTTTGGGCAATGACCGAAAGGATGAGATCACGGGTACAAGGGGTCGAATTGAGGTTTCTGCCGGGCTCACTCTCCGTAATCGAGTGAGGACTCGAGCCCCTGCTGCTCCTACGGATCGAGAGGAGCCAGTTCAAGTTAATTTATTATGTATAGCCCTGTGAGCCATTCGGCTCTTGAATCGGGTGCAACCGCAATAAACAAAAAACAAAACATGAACAAGAAAACATCTTATAGTGACTATGTGACTAAGTGCAAACAGAAAATCCAGCAAAATATTGCAGAAAAAACACCGTACACCAACGATGTGTGCAAAAATCCCAGTGGGATGCAAGTCAGACAACAACAACAACAACCACAAGAAAACTTAGATTAAGGCCATCAGTCTAACTTTGTACTACAACAAACAAACATGGCTAAACCAATACACTTTTCGAAATCACCAAAATAAAGCTATGAAAGCAATGAAAAAGCAATCATAGGAACTGTGACGGAATTTTCACAATAAATGGCATAAACAACATGTACTACCAAAACCCTGCAGCCATAGCTGGCTGCATGAGTCACTCCACAACAGTTGAGATGGTACCGAGCACCTGGTAAGGATGCCCCCCCCCCGCGGTTGACTCCCATTGGAACTCTACCGGGCAGCAGCAGCACGACTCGACTGCGAATTCCCAGGAAGAGCTAAAGTCTGTGTATAGTGTAGTCAGAGCCGGCCCAGCCACTAAGCGACCCTTGCAATTGCAAAGGGCCCCGTGGCCAGCAGAGGGCCCCCTAGAGTCACTGCTAGCTCGTGGGTGAAAAAAATCATACATCAAAGGGGCCTCCAACCAAATTTTGCTTAGGGCCCCCAAAGGTCTAGGGCCGGTTCTGAGTGTAGTAGTGTATAGTAGTGTAGTGTAGTTGTGTATATCAGTGGGTAGTAGTGCAGTGCAGTAGTATATAGTAGTGTGTAGTCGTGTAGTGCAGTAGTGTATAGTGTATAGCACTACTACACTATACACTACATTATAGTGTAGTAGTGTAGTGTAGTAGTGTATAGCACTGTGTAGTGGCGTAGTGTATAGCACTACTAGTGTAGTAGTGGTGGAGTCTGTGGCCAGGCAAAGGGAGGTCTGTACCAACCCTCCACACCACGCTGCCACCACCAGCACGGACTGACTGAGAATCACACACACACACGTGAAGGGAGGGGGCGTGTTGGGGGGGTAATTTGGAGGCCTCCCATTGGTGGAGGGAGTCTGCGCGTGCCACGCGGATTTCCGTTATTTAAAGGGCGGGTGCGGACACAACGCGACCACTCCGCGAGTTACGCAACAACAACAGCAGCAGCAACAACAATCATCAACAACAACAACAATCAACAACAATCAACCAGCAGTTGTGTGTAAAGTTTTAAAGACATGGACAAGGGCAAGAAGTCGAGTAGGACCTCGGATGGTGGCGGAGCGAGGTGTGTTGAGCGCTCTCTTCTTTTTTCTTCTTTTAAAAAAAAAAGTGTCACTTTGCGGAAGCAATTCGCGAGTGTGCTCGGTTGTGCAACTTGTTAAGTTTGGTGAAGTTGTGGTTGTTGTTGTTGCTTTGTGTGATGTAACGGATATGTAACGAGTAACGAAGCGACTGCGAATGTGCTACGGACTGCAGAGGGACGTTACAGTACACGTGCGTGTTAGATCAGAAGCGTGCGTGTGTTGTGTACAGTAGTAATTTTCCAGCTGTCTTTATACGTTTCCGTTTAGGTTAACTCGGCCTGAATGACAATTGAGTAATGTAACCGGTGCTTTGAGTTGATGATAGTGCTGGGAGATACAAAGGCGGCCGGGTGCGTGGGCTCGGACCACGCCTAGCTCGCTGGTGTTAGCTCTGCTTATACAGTAGTGGGTGCTTGCAAATAGCATTTGTGTATGTACTAAGTGTATTACACTTGTGTTCAAGTTCGCTATGTGCACACACATGCGCCGTATATACTGCTACAATTGCTAAATTGACAATAAGTACAAGTTAGGCACTGCACGTGGTACATTCGATAACCGATATGCAACGCATACATTGCTAACTATATGTACACATTGCACGTGCAAGTACGGCATTACGTATGTACGCTATCTAAAGTATGTTTGAATAGTGTATCCAGTGTGTGGACATTGACAGAGCAATACTCTTAGGTTTTTTCGGTAAAGTCACGTAGGTAAAAAATACAAAAATGTATAATAAAAAATAAAAGTAATAGAAGTAAAATAAAAGTTATTTATTAATTTATATAATTATTTATTATTATCTATAATTATTTCTTATTATATATATCTATAATAATTATCTATTATTATTTCTATTATGTTTTTTTTATTTTACCTACGTGATATCACCGAGAAAACCTAAGAGTATGAATCCTTGCAGTCACGAAAGCTTCAAATCTAGAATTGACAGAGCAACTTGGGTGATGTTGTGGCAGTGAACGGCGCTTGGTAGGTGAAGCTAAAGGCAGATCGGGGAGGCATTCATCCAGCAGTGGATTGACCACGGCGTGCGATATAGAAATGCTGACACATTAGCACGGCTGGTGGCTACGTACGGTGCGATAGAAGTTCAACAATGCGGCTTGTGTTTTTGCAAGCACGCCCGCCAAATATTTGATTGATAACTTTCGATTAAATTTAGATTTAAAGCTTTCGTGACTGCAGGGATTAATATGATTGGTTATTTCGGTAAAGTCACGTAGAAGGGAAATAATAAAATAAGAAAAAAATTATTGCTGTGGATTTCACACCTTGATGATGATTGCTTGTGTTGCAGTCGAAACGTCGTGAGAAATGTTTTTGTTTTATATTTTTATTATTTTATTATTTCCCTTCTACGTGACTTTACCGAAAGAACCAATAATATGAATACCTTTCGATTAGTTAACGTAATGTAATGTAACCCCAGTAACATCTTTCTCGCCTAGCCTAAATACCAACAACACGATGGCAATTTGCATTTATACTCTTAGGTTTTTTCGGTAAAGTCACGTAGGTAAAAATAAATAATAAAATTAATAGAAATGATAATATAAATAAAATAATAAATAGCAGCTCATCTTTTGTGTGATGCACGAGTTCAGTAGACTCATCTTAACAATATTAATTAGTAAGACGCCTTGCGCAGTCTTTAAGGGGCCTTCTGTAACTGCATTCACACGTTGTGTACATAAGAACGTTTCGCGTAATGATTAACCCAGCGTTAGTATTCCTTATCGCCGTGTTTTAATTTAAAGAACAACTTTTTCCCCACTAGCAGTTGGGTAGCTGTTGGGTTTTTTTTATCATCGACACGAATCGATGGAACTTTACACATCCATTGCTTAACCACATTGTGATGCATCTAGTACTGCAAATACCAACAATTCATTTTCATAGCACGTACTGTACCTGTCAACCAAACAAAAACACTTTTGTTTGTTTACATTTTGACTGCAAGTATTGTGGTTAACGCAGACATGAATCCTTATAAAAAGGTTTCAGTTTTGTTGCCAGAAAAAAGGGGTCAAACCCTATTATTATATATTGGTACTGGCAAAGGAGGTCCAATGATGTTAAAAATAATATTTCACGACGTCTCGATCGCAACACAAGCGGTCGTCCTCGGGCATAAAAAATTAACCCGTAAAAACAAAGTTTTTCACTATAAATCCTTTATATGCGTGGCATCGGGGCGGCTAGAGTCCTCTCGTCCTCTGGCTTGAGATGGCTGCCACCTATGGGTCAGATGATTGTGTGCCAGCATTAACCAATTGGTAAATAAATATGTAAAAAAAATTCCCTAAACAGTGTAAAATTTGGGAAAAATTTTCACGAAAATTCATTGTCACGCACAACGAGTCTGTGCAAAATGTCAGCTCGATTGGATAACGGGAAGTGGGTTAAGTAACGACCAGCAGTTCCACTGCTACGTGACTTTACCCAAAGCTTCAAATCAAGTTGTAAACGAAACGCATGCAAATCAAAAACAAATGAGAGAGCAAGAGGCACCTGAAAAAAGTTCGGTACAGATGCAAGCTAACCTCTATATTATTCTTAACAGGGATATGAGCACACACAATTCGAAGAAAAGCACAAAAATAATGCGTGAACAAGACGTGCCAGAAATATGGTATACGCGGTGTGTATATGCGCTGTCAATAGTTGAAACCAATGCGATGTTTTAGTATTCGTTGGTGACTGTGGTTCTGGGCAGAGTACTGCAGCACTGACTCACATTGGAGGACGTTTTGAGTTGGGAATCGACTCCCAAAGTCGATGTTTTTAAACGAGTTCAAATTTGGGAATTGTGCAGTGGTTGCTGATCTTAGGTCCTTGCCAGCAAGGCAAAGGTCGCAACCGGGTACCTGATACCCGTACCCTACCCGATACCCAGCTACCTGTACCCGACCGGGTACGGGTAGCTGTCTGCGACCCTGGTGCGGCCGGGTACGGGTACGGGTAGGCCGTGAGTCACTGGTGGGTAACCGTTTGTCACTCATTTCCCAACGTCTTGTCTCTTCTCACAATTCAAGTTCCTAGAATCAACCCACCCGCGCCTGCAAACATGGCTTCATCCCAGAGGTCGCAACCGGGTACCCGATACCCGTACCCTACTCGATACCCGGCTACCCGTACCCGGCCGGTTACGGGTAGCTGTTTGCGGCCCTGGTGCGGCCGGGTACGGGTAAGGAATCAAAACCCGTTTCCTACCTCTGCAGCAAGGGAGTTGCATTTGCACTACAGTACTGCCTCGGGGCTTGGCATGGTAGATAACCATCACACCATGTTCTTGAATATCAACCTACAACCACTTAAAACACTTAAAAAATAACTACAGTAGAAGCTGGACATAACACCTCCATTGGGAGCAATTCCACGTGTCCACGTATCAGAAGTATAGTCGTGTACTTGTATCAGTAGTTGACCTCCGCCACCAGTGCAATGTCAGCATGTGTTGCTTGTATAAGATGTCCTTATATCCAGCGTGTATTGCAAATGTTTAGAGTTTATGATTGGACAAACTCAAATCACTTTTTTTTATCGATTTAAAGCTTTCGTGACTGCAGGGATTCATCTTCTTGGTTCATTCGGTAAAGTCACGTAGAAGGGAAATAATAATTATTCTTATTATTTCCCTTCTACGTGACTTTACCGAAAGAACCAAGAAGATCAAATCACTTTGTAAAAAAAAAAAATTGTGCAAAGAAGAGTGTGGCCCTTGGTGTGGATGCACGCACGGTCTATAGGTATCGTTTGCCCAAATGTTTTTTTTTATCTTGAATGCGGGAACCACAGGGCCATTGCTGCAGAGTGGTCGATAAGAGAGGTGTGGTCCCTCCATGTGCCTCGACGTCTGTACATGCACCTTGGTTGCGTTGGTGAACAAACCTCCTAACTCCACGCTCAATTGAGCACCAAATGCCATTCAAGTGCTTTCTCCAACAATCGAGTGCACTCCTTCCGTGCCATCAAGCATCCAAGTGCATTGTTGTCCTGCAATACTGCGCCTGCAGTGGTGATCAGCAGTGAGCATTTAAATGCGTTAAAGTTAAAGGTGAAAATCCTGCAATTGCTTGTTCATGCCTCCTGCCGTCAGAACAGTTTCCGCTGTGGAGTGACGTAACCTGCTCATGATTTTTAATGAGGGGGGCTGGTCTATGTGGAGTGACGTCACGAGCGTTGCACACAGACATTCTTGGCTTATTATAGTAGGTAATAATAATGGGAATGTCCATTTTGGAGGACGTCGCCTGCTCATGGTTATTAACGAGAGGGGGCTGGTCTATGTGGAATGACGCCACGAGCGATAAGGACAGACATTCCTGGGTGATTATAGTAGGTATAATTACCGGCGAAACGTCGTACTAGACTCAAATTGTAACTTTTGTGGGTTTACTCTGCAACACACCCGTGATGAACTAGTAACGAATTGGCATGTTTTGTGTACGTGACAAACCCATGGCTGTGTCGGGTGGTGGCGGGTTTAACAACGCATTCATATTGATGCGATCTAACCCAAAAACCTCTTGCCGACATTAGATGTTTCCCACGAATTGGCTCTTCATTGTGGAATGTTGGCAGGATTCTCACTACCGGTCAATAAAATCGCTGACCTGTAAACATGTCCTCTGCTCAGCTTTATGCGCAAACAAAGCGCGGACTTGTTAAATGAGAGATGGGATTGCATGTCAATGAGATGTGCGTATTTCAATATAACCTTTTTATTCAAAGTGGTCAGCGCGCAGCGCATTGTGCCACCACACCAACATCCCAGTTTCAGTTTATCCTGCCAGAGGTCACATGCATTCGAATCCACATAATTAGAAATTAAGGTATAGTTACAGTAGTTTCGTGTTAAGCTGGGTGGAATGTCAAGAGTGTAATTCCCAGTCCAAGGCCATCTCTGCTCATCATCCCTCCAGAGTTGATTAAATGAGAACCACTTGCTTCTAAGTCAACAGTGGTCTATAGAGAGATGGGTCTCCATCATGATATGGTACTGTATTTGCATCACCTTCCCACAATCACCAATTGATATGGTCTCTGCCCATTAGGGTTGTAGGCATGTACTGATTCATCAAATTACACCAATTCTTATGCCCAAGATATATGTAATTGAATTGGTGTGTAAGAATTGATGTTTTTCTGTTCATGTGTAATGGATTTACATGATGTCTGCAGCCACTAGAGGTGACATTAGTCACAACAATGCATAAACATCTTGATTCGAATCATGGCAATTCATGGCAAGGCCGTAGCCATGGAGTCAACATTGGGGGGGACCAAATCTTCCAGGGGGTCTGGGTGTGTCCCCCCAGAAAAAAAATCTACATTTGAAAACTAATTTCCTGTCTAAAATATAAAAAAATTCACTAACACATAGGATGGACTTTATATTTCTTTTTTACAATAATGTCTAATAGTAAATTGTATTACATTGCTGTTTTTAGTTTTTTTACCTTTTGTTTAATTGTATGTAATGGCAGAGATTAGGGATTTATAAAGTACAACCATAACCACAATCATATAAACAGAAATCTATTTTATAGCAATATATTGGGAGGGATGTCCCCCCCCCAATATATTATAATTACGGTCTTGATTCATGACATTGCTAGATATTAATTGGAAGAGCCCTGTCCCTGCCCATTTTCAGTGTTTTAATTGATAGTGGCATGTATGGGAGGCCTTTCTAGCAACTGGTATACAGTATTCCCTAGCCATTTTTGAGAGTGATTCGCTAGCATTGGATTATTGGACATAGCAGTATGAAACAACATGATTTGGTTTTCTGTGCTGTAACTTGCTTGATCGCATTGACAGCATAGTTGATTTTTGTACACGATAGGTTTATTCGGGCGTAAGTGTTTTTAATGGCATGTGTTTCGATACACGATATTAATTTGGTCCTTCGTAAGAAGGGGATTGTCTGAAACTATGCGTAGAAGTATTCATAGATGCTAATCTAATCTTCCGAAACACATTTCAATTAATTTGAGTGGGAGCAAAGACGTGACGGAAATTTGTGCCACTCAGAATCCCTGACATTTGACCTGCAAGTATCACGGCATCTTAAATCTCCGCTCATACGGTGACATTTAATCACAGAAGTGGCCCAGTCGTGCTCACGCTAATGACTTTTAAATGCTTTCTTTATCAAATACATATTGTAAGTGAAGTTGATTTTAAAGCCAGCGGCATGCTCGGTAGAGCTAATCAGTAGGTATAATTCTTGTGTACAGGAGCATATAGTATATCTAGTGGTTATTTATGTCTGTTTCCAGAAAAAAAACTACTTGGGAGAGAGAAGGGGGAAGTTATGTTTTGTAATGATTTACCTTGTGTGTATGAAATGGTAAGGAATTAAAAGTATGTTCAAGTTCATATTTGACATGCTTGCAGTGCCCTTAATGCATCTCGTTTTGGTGCGCAGTGCAGTAAAGTATTCTTACTTCACCGTCTGAGGCAAGACCTGCTGTGTGTGCACAAAGTTGTCTGTTCAGTATTGAGTGATGTGATTGTAAAGGATGAGGTCGTTTCTGCAGACTCCCTTCGCTTGCGCTAATGGACCAGCAATCAAATTGACGCAGCGGTCGGATTGGGCCTCTGCTGCAGTGCGGCACAGAGGCAGGTCCCGTGGGGTAGGGTGGAGGACTTGCGAGCGTATACAGCGGTGATTTGAATTGGAGAGGAGAGTAGGAGGGCTTTTGTGCCCCCTTGTAAAACGTGCATGAAAAATGCAGCAATGCAGCATTCACTGTATGCATGCATGTGACTGTGTACGAGTGGGGAGAAATGTCGCAGTGTTCCGCACACTGCGGTATAATCTTGGCTACCAAGCGCAACACGAGCGGAAATCGGCATCTGCCACGTGGTCTGAGCCCAATCCCTCGGTGGACTCGTCCTGGTGTGGTCAACACTAGTACTGGGGAAACATGTGGTTGTGTGTGGGGGGCGGTAGTGTGGCGGTTAGCGTGCTGCGCTATGAACCCTGGCAACCTGGGCTCGATCCCCGCTCGCGGTCCACACAAGTGACGATCCTGGGCCTCCCCTAGGTCGACTCGGCATAAAATGAGTACCTGGTGTGGTGTGTAAACATCGATTTATTAAACTTAATTCCACTCAATGGTCTTATGCATTGGGTAGTACAATTAATAATGTATTCATGATGTATGTAAAAGATAGAAATTATTTGTTACATTTTGGGCTAATGTAATGAGAAAAACTACAAATTAGAAACAATAAAAGCAGCAAAAGGACGATCGAAACAAAACGCACAAATTATTATTGCATAAAATTGCGACCCGGAATTGTGGCAATTGAATTGTATGGAGCTGGCAGGTGAAATATAAGTGCTATAGTGTTTAGTTAAGCATATATGCAGTACTATACATGTGCAAAGTGCTCCATTTATCTTCTATTTACTGTCATGTTAAGATGTGTACTCTGAGTACCTATTCGGAATTGTGGGATACCAAGAGGCAGCCATCCACTTATTTCAAGTCTTTTATGTAAGATATGCTCATACCAGATGAGGAATTATACTTATTTTAGACTGTGTCCCTATGGGGAGGCCCTATCCAAATACAGATACAAATTTCTACTGCTGTGTCTTAGCTAATACTTGAACCCATGCCACTGGACTTCATAATGCAAGGGTTATCCAACTACCTTTCCATCACTTCACTTCCTCTTACATATTATACACACACATGTAGTATATTTACGATTGTGCATCTTTATTTGGATTTACAATGAGCTCCACTTTTATTTTTAACTTTTACCTGTGTCTTTCTCTTTGCAGCAAAGCCAAAGAGCCTACTTTCAACAAAGGTAACAATACCTGCTATTAATTTCTAACGACTGTACGGTAGCTGAAGCCTCGCGTCTATCAGATCAGCTGGTTTAGTATTTGCGAATGAATGAATGCTCCGCATGCATTGTGGACAGGCTAAAAGCCTTAGCTACATGGTGATGTAATGCACCGTATAGATTAATCTCTGGCGCGGTGAAGCCTTTTGTCAGCTGAAATCTGACCTTGTCGGTCTGTTCATCACACGCGCGCGCACACACACTGTATACCCTGGCACAAAAACAGTTTTTGAAGTGCCCATTGATACGCTTAAAAAGGGACGTGAATAATGCACGCACTGGGAGGATATTGAATTGTGTTAAAACATAAATGAGCTTGTCATTCAGTTGATGGTGGACACAATGGGAAAACCTGAGTAAAAATAACAACATTAATGAAACTACGGCTAAAGTTGTAATGGTGGTTTCCAAACGGTTGCGTCACTTTGTTAAATGTGGTGAAATTATACGAGGTTGCGCTTGGCTTTATTTCATACATATGCACTCATTTCTTGCAGATGAGGGATACGTGCGCATGTACCTGCGTGGGAGACCCATCACCATGTTCATGCCTCAGGACGCAGTGGAGGGATACAAGATAGGCACGAAGCTGGAACTACCTGCAGAGAAACTCTCCCTTGAGTGGGCGTATCCTGGAAACCCGTATTATATTTAGATTTGTTTTCCTTTGACAATTAATATTTTAATTTTCGCTCTTTGCAGTTACACAATACCTTTTGCCAAAGTTACACCTGACCAAGTGTTTGTAAAAGTGAAGGATTAGCGGCCCCCATCATGAAACAAAGTTTATGTTTTTTCATTATTTAATATAAAATCTTTCTCTGCAGCAGTGATGTATAGGATGGACCTTCCTGCCTGAGATTCACTTTTAGTGTGTGGAAATAAACTAAAAGGCCTGGAGAAAAGCCTCACCTAATGAGAGGTTAACATTCTGACAACCTATATGATAGTCATACAACTTGTGTAGCTTTTTGCAGTTGCGCTGTACAGCTAGCTCTCCATTGTGTTTTCAGGTTCTACCGCGTGTTGTTCAGCACAATGTCCATTTTGGCTCCACGTTGCTGGGTTCATTTCCTGAAGAAGCTCCCGGCACGTGGAGAGAAACGTCGGGCATCGTACCAAACGACACGCAGTACAACCTTAAAACAAATTGGGGATGATACAGTACTTTGATTAGAGGCACGTCTTCTCTTAATAAACTCTGAAAAATGCTCATTACTCTGCAAAGAGTAGTTCACTGCAAGTTATGTGTGATATCTCTTTATCACTCCGGGTGGATAGAGTCGGGCCAATAATTGTGCAGTTATTGATGACCAGCCTATGATCAAATCACCAGGAATAGGTCCGATCTCTTCAGATCTCGGCAGCTAAGCAGGCTTTATCCTGGATTGTACTTGGATGGGTGATTCTCATGTGCTACGGACATGCGTAATAGACGTTTAGGGCAGTAGAGGGCGGTGCATAAAAATCCATTGTTCTGCACGTCCTCGACCTTCAGCGTGCACTGACCACCATGGTGAATATAAATAATCATCACAGTCCAAAATGTGTGGGGAGGCCCGTCCTCCACCTGCAGCGTATTTTACAAAAATGCTCTGAATATCCACGTACACATTGGCAAGCTTGCCGAGGCCTTAAACTCGCTTACTAAACTGTTTAAACACAGACGGCCGCCCGGATCGAAACCCAGAATCTCGGCAGTGCCTGCCTAGGCTGCATTCGCCCATTGAGCCAACAAGCCATCTCCCAAAAGTAAATGCGTTTTCAGGCAGTCGAAACATTCCCGGTGTGTTTGCCTTGTGTTAAAAGCGGCAGGGCCTTTGAATCAACAACAGGTAAAAGCCCCAGTGGTCGCCCTTGACTCCCCACTGCCTCTCGCCCACTCCCTCCGCCGTGCTGGTGGGGAGGGAGGGTGCGCGTTGCTACGGCTATGGCGGGCGGGCGACACACACAGCTATGGCTACCGTGGCAAGGACTGCCGCGCCAACGTGGAGCTGCTGCCCTCGGGGGAGCTGGTGTTTTTCGTGGCAGCTGTGGGCGTGTTGCAGCACGTGGAGAGTGGCGTGCAGCGCCACTATCTGGGCCACGATGATGACATCAAATGGTGGGCCATCTGCCAAGTTGGCTACTCCTGTTTGTGGCATGCGCTTCCCGTACGTCCGAGAGTCCTGGTTCCACCGGCCAAACCACAGAGTGAGATTTGAGCTTTGTGATAAAGCCATTGTCAGCCAGTTTTACAGCAGACTCGAGATGGAAATGTTTTGTAAAGCTTGCACAGCCCATGCGCTATAAGAATGTTGCAAATATCAAACGTATTTGTTGGTGTAGTTGTAATAATGTGGTGGTTTCGCAAGAAATCACACTTGTCTGATGGGGCCAAATCCAAGGTTGCCTTGCTTGAGCAACTGTTGAATTCTCATTTAAGTGGCGATTCATTTGTCAGTGACTGATTCTGGAGACATGATTGGGAGAAATCACCACAATTGGGGAACTGATAATCCTGTTTGTTAAACCGTTCTTTTAACAGTAAGCTATCCAAATATTCAGCCTGTATGTATCCTGTACCTTGAAATTAAGTAGCTTTTTTATAATTGACCCAGTCATAGATAGTGATCAACAATATTAGTAACAATTTAGATATTTTTTTTTGCACTTGCACAAGAAACTGGTGCATTGTTAAGTGCCTGTGTCCGTTTAAACGTCTGTGTGCGTGTTCTTTCTAGCATGGCCGTGCATCCGGACAAGGTGATTGTTGCAACTGGGCAAGTGGTTGGGAAGAGCAAGGATGGGAAGGTGAGTGGCGTGCCTCTGTGCTTGATGGACAAAATAAGAGGTTGGCTGGTTGCCTCATGGGGCGTGTGTCATGTCGGCAGCAAGCCTGAAACCATCCGTGGTTCAGATCCAGGCAGTGGCGATTATAAAACCGTATTTGTATGGAGGCGAGCAAGTTGGTGGTATCAGCCCATCAACCAACAATCGCATACGAAACAATAAGTACGTTTGGATTTTCGATTTAAAGCTTTCGTGACTGCAGGGATTCATCTTCTTGGTTCTTTCGGTAAAGTCACGTATAAGGGAAATAATAAAATAATAAAAATAAACCAATAAAATAATTCTCCAGATGTTTCGGCCACAACGCAAGCAGCCGTCCTCAGGTGAAGAACAGGTCTCATTCAGACGCTGTCTTTCCGACAGACCTGTTCTTCACTTGAGGACGGCTGCTTGTGTTGTGGTCAAAACGTCGTGAGAATTTTTATTTTATTATGTTTTATTATTATTTTATTATTTCCCTTCTACGTGACTTTACCGAAAGAACCAAGAAGATACGTTTGGCTTGTGACTTCAAAATAATAAATATTTTTAAATTCAGCCATTTGTTAATCCACCACTGAATTATTTCCCCCCCCCCCCCCCCATGCTCTGTTGGTTACGGGGTCGTTGGACCGTGCCGATCATTGCGGATGAGTGAAAGTAAAGGGCCCAGGACCAGTTCTGTGATCTCATGTGCCACTGGCGTTAGTCGTGACCAGCAATACAACCCGGGTCACCAGGGTCGGTGCAATGCGTGTTGCCACTGAACTGCCACCTTCACTGCATTATGTTACGTTACTTATAAAACCTCTAAGTCTCCAACCCCGATAACAAAAAAATTCTCATTCAGGTGCCATGCAAGGGGGACAGTCATTTCAGAGTATAAAACGGCAGTGCCACCTAGTGTTGGCTCGGAGGCCTTTATTTATGCGAGGTCAAGAAGTTTTGTAATTTCGTTTTCTCATGAGGTAATGCACTGGTTCCTCCCAAGAGTTTTCAATGAAATGTTTTTACTCTTTTGGCTGTGATGCTGATCGCATCATTTGAATATAATTATTGAAATATTTACATATGAATTCAGTTGTTGGAGAACAATTTGGGTGAAAGGTCTTAATCGGTTTACAAATGGGAAAACAAATCTTGTTTGTAAACAAAACGGTGCATGTGAAAACTGCAAAACTTCATTTTCGGTTTATTTAACCAAAAACAAGAATTGTGGAGCCAGTGGGCCACCGATTGGAGAAATTTGAAAACACAGCAGGAAAGTTGACGACATGAAAAGGAAGTGAAAGCTAACGGCGCTGTCGACTTGTGTCTCAGGTGCTTCCTGCCCACGTGCGCGTGTGGAGCTCCGCCTCGCTCGAGACGCTGCACATGATCGGAGGAGGAGTCTTCGACCGGGGCGTCCTCTGCGTTTCCTTCTCCCGAGCCGTACGATAATTTTATTTTCACATTTACTACTCTGCAGCTCATACTCTGCGGTTTGAATGCTCGCTGGTGTATTTACCGAATGTTCTGGTTTATAGCAAACTTCTTTTTAGGTTTCTCCCTTTATTTAAAATAAAAATTGGAGTGTCTAATAATCCAGAATGTGACCTTTATTGCTTTCACCAGCCACGTCCATCGTTGCAGGTGTGACCAGATTTGGATAACTTTATTAGTACCGGATAGTCAACTTCATTGCTATTGCACAGCCACATCCACCCTTACCCTGTTCTCTGGATTATGAGTCACACTTTTTTCCACTCTGTGTTTTGTAACTTTGTGCTTTAGATCCTTATTTACCAGTTTCCCAGGGTATCGTATTCTCTGGAAAATTGCTATTTTATTATTTAAAAAATTACCCTAAAAGTTTCTGGAGGGTCCTGCCAAGTTTTCGTAGAAGGGTGCGATGATTGCTTTGTTTATTCCCATTGAGTAATTTTAAACTTAAATAGTAGTGTTTTAATGTTTGGTAGCACCAACAGAACTATGCTGAAATGTGTTAAGACCTATTCATTCACAAGCCTTGTGGGCTGTACTTTATCTTGGCAGCCTTGAGGTGGAGTTTTCAAATTTCACATTTCTTGTAACTGGATCCATTTTCTCCTTCTCACAGCCACTGTTAGTTTCCTGATAAACTGTTAATCATTTCATCCACCATAGAAATATAATACCACGCTAAGTCAACTCGCTGACCGGGATTTGATCCCGCAACCTAATTTCGCTATATCACATTATCACCCGGTCGGGCAAACATCGCGTTGTCATTCACGCACTCTCAAAAATCAATCTAACGGAAGTCATCTGCTCCAAGGACTAAAGGGCCTGCTTAAGTTGGTATTCGGGAAATAGCTTTGCAGGCTGGGCTGGAACAATAAGTAATGGTTCATAATAGATGATCTTGGTCACGGGCAATAAATTTACGTTGTTGAACACAATCCGTGTGCGCAGGGTGGTGGTGGGCTGCTCTGCGCCGTGGATGATGGGAACGAAAAGATGATTTCTGTCTGGAACTGGAAGAAGGAGACGAAGGTGACCGACAGCAAGGTGAGTGGGAGAAGTTGTGACCATCGTTTGTGAATGATGTCTGCGCGCAGCATTCGCGGTAGGCTTGAGTTAACCCCTAGCCCGGGATTTAAACTGTGAGTGGAGCTCTCATATTAGGACGACTTGGCCTTTAGCTGGGTACGGCTCACTGATAACCGCTAATGCAGGCTTCGAGCGTCGGTGCATTTCTGAAAGGCCTTTTTTGATGAAAGGTTCAAAGGTCTGTCAAGATGAGGGCATCAACAGCCGCCTATGAAAACTCGGAGTAACGTCAACGACCAAATCCCAGTTTTTCATGGAGTAATAACATACCCCATACCGTGTCAACCCATATGGTTTACCCCGTATTCTTGTACAGGGAAATTGAATTTTTAGGTCCATATGGCATACAGCTGTTTCAATTCGGGCAAAAAAAAATCGTATGGCTAAATTAAAAAAGTCGTGGGACAGCATCAGCAGGCAACATCACGGACAGCAGCATGATAAGTAGCATCATTGAAAACCAATTCTCAATCAATTTTTAAAACAGTTTTGTTTAGTAACATAATTTTTTTCAATGTTTGTTTGTGGTTCTCCCTTGTGATGGGACTTTGTAGATTGAACGTTGATATTTATCAGGGCACGGGGTGACCAATAAGGTCTGAATTGGTCTGTAAGAAGGTAGGCACTGATAAGGGGTTGACAGGTTTGTAGTTCTGTTCGCTAAAGAAACCTTAACATAATTAAACTCGTAAAAATCTTGCTGTGAGTAAATCGAGTGGTTCAAATATCACATTTTGGGTATATTTTCTTTTACGTCTTGTTATCAATAGCCGATGACGTCCAATGTCGCACCCGCAACTCGCAGGAACCCAAATATGTTGGAGCTTGAACCCAGGACGTGGTTGTTGCTTGCTCACGGTTATGGCATTGAAAATCGGCTTTAAAGCCAGATTGAAAATGCGTTTCGCTCTATTATTGTATTTGTACTATTTGGATTTTGGCGTTCTCTGGTCTGACACTGGTGAGACTATGCCATTTAAGAAGACAATGCAAATATTATCAGAGCTTGTTTGTATGTTCACCACAAATACGTGTGGTTTATTCAGACTTGATTCCTTGCAAAAGGTATCTATTTGGTGCTTGAACATCTTAACACCTACTAATAGGGTTTTTCCCTTTTTTCTGGCAACAAAACTGACACCTTTTGCAAGGAATCATGCTTACATTAACCACAATACTTGCAGTCAAATGCAAACAAAAAACAATACTCTGATAATGTATGCATTGTCTTTGAAACTGATTGGTCCACACCAGAGACAGCTTTCTTTAGAGCCTAGTCTCATATGGTGTTCGACCAGATGACGCCAAAAGGCGCAGTTTTGTTGCCAGAAAAAAAAAGGGGAAAAACCCTATTAGTATATTTTGGTACTGGCAAAGGAGGTCCCATGATGATCTTAACACCTGTTTAATTGCCACGAAGACAACATTTTTTTCATATGTTCTGCTTTGTGTCCCGATCCATGCACCTTGCAGTGCTCCAACGAGGTGGTGTACTCTGCCGACTTCCACCCCAAGGAGGAAAACGTCATCGTCACTTGCGGAAAAAACAACATCATCTTCTGGGCACTGGACGGACGCAACTTGAGCAAGAAACAGGGCATATTCGAGGTGAAGTGCCTGGCTGCAATGGACAGGATTTCTTCAATATGCACGACGAGTAAAGATGAGCTATTCAGAGGCCAAAACATATCCATTCTAGCATCTTGTTATGCAGTTGTATACAGATGCTCTATAAATACATCTCAATTGTATTGCGTTTTATGCATTTCATGATGTGGATGCTACGTCAATCCTTTCTTTATGACAATATGGCTCGGCCCCCATGAGCCAACCGAATATGTCGCAGTATATAGGCAATACATTGTGGCCATCTTCGGTGGTTAAAGGTGAAGAAAAATTAAGCAAATTAGATAAAAATATATTGAGTAACTATGATGAGCATATTGCATAGCTTGATAAAGAGAAATATTTTAAAAATTTATGTTAAACAACTGCATCTCTTCATACTAAACTTTGTTTACATTTTGACCTGAATGCCCCTGTCTGCATGTGAGCTCATTCGAGCCAATCCCAGTGATGTTGCGTGTGCAGCACGAGAAGCGATCAACACGGTTGCCAGCAAGGTGGCGTGCATCAGACCTAAGCGCAACTCTTGGCTTCTCAAAGGAATTCCTCCCGTAATGAAAGTGTGTCTCCTGCCGCCTTTGCAGAAGCACGAGAAACCCAAGCATGTCCTGTGCTTGATCTACCTCGACAACGGGGATGCTGTTTCTGGGGATTCCGGTGGAAACATCTATGTGTGGGGCAAAGGTAACCGCGTTAAATATCTTGTCGTCACGCGGGTCCCGCTGGATGGTGCAGTGCCAAGAGTGCTCTCGTCATCTGAATGTCGAGAGTTCTTAATCCTAACCGTGGGTTTACTATGTTCTTTCCGTCATATAAATTAATGTCACTTAATGGGACGTGAACAGTGGTTGTTGTCCTATGCCCTGTAGGACAACCACCGTTGCTGTGCTATAACAATCTGGATTTTCCACCACTATCATCAGGAGCACTAACAGGCATGAAAAGTTGACCGAGGTGCGGTGACGTCAGCGGCACTGGCCATGATGACGCCTTCAATATTTGCGACGGTGCTCTCGATCCCCCTCGGCGTGCAGGTGGTTACCGCATCACGCGCGCCATCACGGGCGTGCACGCCAGCGGGGTGATGGCGCTGTGCGAGCGTGCCGACGGCACTTTCATTTCCGGTGGCAGAGACGGCCACGTTGTGTTCTGGGACTCGAAGATGGAGAAAACGGGAGAGAGCCGCGTGAGTTGGGCGGGGTGAAGTGTTGACGAGTGGGGTGGTTATTGACGACAGCGTTGTTTCTCACCATGTCGCCAACACAACATGTCAGCCACATGGATGTATCTTCTTGGTTCTTTCGGTATAGTCACGTAGGGAAATAATAAAATAATAAAAATAAAACATAATAAAATACAATTCTCACGACGTTTCGGCCACAACGCAAGCAGCCGTCCTCAGGTGAAGACAGCGTTTGTCGGAAAGACAGCGTCTGAATGGTCTGTCCTTCCGACAGACCTGTTCTTCACCTGAGGACGGCTGCTTGCTTTGTGGCCGAAACATCGTAAGAATTATTTTATTATGTTTTATTTTTATTATTTTATTATTTCCCTTCTACGTGACTTTACCGAAAGAACCAAGAAGATGAATCCCTGCAGTCACGAAAGCTTTTAAATCGAAATTTCACCTGGATCTATGTTGAACTTTTTTCGCACCGTACGTAGCCAACTGCTCATTGTAGGTGCGGGGAAAAGACAACAAACAAATCGCACATCTCTAAACCTTGTGAAAGCCACCCCCTCACCCTTGTGACCATCTCTCATCTGCCACTTCCTTGCCCCCATTCCTCTTCTGAAACCGTGATATTCCTACTCTGGTCACATCTCGCCTAGACTGTTGTAATTTCCTCCTACCGTCTCCAAATACCCTCCAGCCTTCGGGATGGCCCTGAATGCCACCGCCAGACATGCCACCTGCATCTGTGAACAAAAACACATCGCCCCTTTCCTTACAACCCCCATGGCTGGATACTCAATTCAATCCAGAGCCAACTACAAGACTGCTCTCATTGGTTTTTAGATCTTCCATGGACTTCCCTCTGTCTGCTTCTTTCATCTAATTTTGGTCATAATCCATTTCCCCTCCCGATGCTCTTCACTCTACAGCTTTAGCTCCATACCTCAAATGAACCTTTTCTGCATTTTTATGTTAATCTCATCTTTCTGTCATAGTTCATTCCCAGAAATTACATCATTGTCACTTGTATTTCCAAACAGTGATTCTATACGCAACGCGTTAAAAGGGCACGTGTGATTATTTCCCTGGCGGGAGAGGCAGTGTTGGCAAAGCACTCTATGAATAAACGATAGCTTTGTTGCAAGTTCACATCCTGGTTAAGGGCCGAATTAGCCCAGAATCTCACCGGGGCTGATGAAAACGAGTGCCACTTTTTTTTGGGAAAACATCAGTGGCCCTTGTGGAATCGTCAACGGCCCTTTCTGAAAAGGATCGTTCCAAAACCGGGGGAATGTGGAATTTCTGTCACTGGCTCAGGGCCCCGAACAGGGATGAGTGCTGTTGCCCCAGTGTGTGATTTGAGTGATGTGGCCGAGCTGTTGCCCGCTTGCCTCTAGTTGTAGAAGTTTATGGTTAAAGGCCAACGGCCGCCCTGGTTAATACAGTGGGTGTTTTTAACCATAAATATAGCATCTGCATAACACAGAGCACATTAAACATCCCATGAGATAAATAAAAAAATGTGGTCCAAATTTACCAAAGTTGATAAGTTACTCGTGAACTACTTATTGGGGGAAAAATCGACGTAACAACATCGCTCCCCTCTTGCCACACTCTTGCCCACTTTCAGGCTGCTGCTGGATTCACCTTGTGCCATACAGATACAGCTTCCACTATGAGGTCCCATTGGCGAGAATCCCACAAGGCTCCTCGAGATGCAATCATGGGAGGCACGGTGTAAACCATGATGATTTGAGCGGGTAGAAACTTTTGATTCTGATTATTTGAGAGCCGGTTGAAAACTGGTGATAGTCGTTGCTGTTGCTGTTCAGATCCCCAAAGACCTGGGCAGCGTGCGGGCTCTGGCCGAAGGGGTCGATGGCTCCTTCTGGGTAGGGACGACCGAGAACGGCATTCTGCAGGGGAGCGCGGACGGAGAGTTCTCCCCAGTGGTGCAGGTGAGCGCTTCTGTGAAACACGCTCGGTCCTTGCTGGTTTATACACCAGCGCCGCTTTCCCTCCCAGCCCCACACTGACCTGTGCGTCGTGTGTTGTCACATGTCTGTGTTGTGCACTCTCTTTCATGTGAAGTTGCTTTGCTCTTCGAGACTTGCCCTTGTTAAAAGTGGAAAAATTGATCAAAGGCTTGTACACATCTTGGGAGACATACCAGTGAAAAAAATTACTCTTGCCAAATATGCTAATTAATATTTCTCTGACAGCTATCCATCATTAACCGGACTGCCAATAAAATATGTGCGAGGCCAAAAGCATGTTGAATAGCAGTTTAACACGTAGGCTTTCGCTACCAGTGTTATTCATAATAAAGATTTTTGGGTTAGATCTCGTTGTTATGAATGTGTCGCAACCCTCCACCACCCGACACGGCCAATCAGTAAAAAATGTGTCGCGTTAACAAAACGCCAATTAGCTACTTCTTCAGCCCACCGTTGTGTTTGAGGAGTGAATCCACAACATTTAGAATTTGAGTACGACGTTTTGCTGGAGGTTTGCGACACATTTATAATAACGCTATCTAACCCATAAACCTTTATTATGAATGTTGAATAGTGTTTACGTAATGAATTTGTGTGCATGGTTTTTCTAACTCGTTTAAAAAAAAATGTAGTTCCAATTTATAAGTAGCATGCTGCAGCTTCTCTTGTCCTATATATCAACACTCAGATTCACTCCAGCCACTCGCTTTTCCTCGCTACTACCATGCTTACTGTTCCCATGAACTTCACTCATTGGTTGATCCTCCTTTGTTGAGGACTTTAGTCGACCAGACTGTTTTGTCACATACTGTGTTCACCACACTGCAAGTCAAAACGCCTCTCTGCTTCTTCCCTCGCACCGTTGCTTTTTGGATCGTCTCTTTGGTCAAGTTCTTATCTCGTTCAATGCAAGAAACGTATAAACCCTTATTAGCTGCTTGGCGTTTGAGCCTTTTGGCGCTTGTGCTAAGCAACCGTGATGTCTTGCTCTCTTGCTCGTGCCAGGGCCACACGGACGAGCTCTGGGGCTTGGCGGTGCACCCAAAGCAGGATGCCTTCCTGACCTGTGCCCAGGACAAGCAGGCCATACTGTGGAACTCTGCCACTCACCGTCCCACCTGGATCAAGACTCTGAAGGTCAGAATTTGCTAATTTGCCTCCGGGATACTCTGGTCACCTCGCCCGTGTCAACAGCCGTCGGCAGCACAGATTCTACATTACCATGGAAACGAGAGTTGACTTTGTATAAAGTAGCTCGTATTTAAGGGTGAATGATTGGTCTGTGCCAACTCTTGAGTCTAACTGTCCCCAATGTTTTATTGGTTATTGGAATTTTTAGTGCATTAAGTATTAAGTCATTTGCGAAACAAGACCTGCATAGCTCATCGGATTCCTCCAGTCTAATTAAAGATTCTGATCCCCTAAAGACTAGCATGGCATCGGTAAGCTTTCATCCAGCAGCAGATTGGCATAATACTATGAAATGCATTTCACTGTAGATGCTATCACAATGCACGGAAGAATATAAACACATTCCTGCAGAGGGAGCTGGTAGGAATGTTGGGTTGCTCGGTCAACGGCGGCGTGGTGTATTCCGCAAATATGGCCGACTGTGAGGGCGGGCACAAGCCGGCGTGAGTAGGTTAAACGTTGAGTTTTTTATAAGGGCACCACGTGGTGACCAGCCCCACCCAGCCCCACCCTCCCCACCCTCCCCTTTCCACCCTCTCCACCCAGCCCCACCCCTCCCATTTTTGGATGCATGGCGGACGGACGGACGGACACAATAATCCCCTGTGGGCTGGTGTAACCAGGAAGTTCCTACCAGTAATATCCACCGGTAGATGGAGAAAAAGACGAGCACAGGGTAAAAAAACTCAAGCGAGATGCTTTGGATGCTCGTTTATAATGCGAGTGACTCGTCGCGTGAATGGATACATGCGAGTTGTTCGTCGTCGCTTGTGTCATGCATGGCTCAGGATCCGTTGCAGTCGGCCGACTTCCATCCCAGTGGAGAAGTGGTTGCCATTGGAACACAGGCTGCAAGGTATTCCTGAAATGTCATAAAACGTGAACACACACAATGGAATTACGCAGGTTCATTACATCATCCAAACTGTTAAGAAAAGTATTCCGTGCCCGGGTGTACTTGTACACATGTGTGTGGTTTCGTGACCGTGTCTGTGTGTGATTTTTTCTCTGTGACAGCTGGCTGGTGTTGGACTTGAAGACACAGAAAGAGTTGCATCGTGAATCGGCTGGCAATGAGCAGATTGCCGTGATGCGCTACTCGCCTGGTATGAGTGTCACCATCCCTTCAATGATCCAACCTGGTGCTGCAGTCAGAGATCTTGAATCAAAATTGTAAGGTTGTCAATATAGCTGGGATGTACGAATATATATAATGAATCGATTACACCATGGGTCAAATTTCACTCCTAATCAGATAATAATACGAAAATATTTTTTGGTTAGAAAAAGTCTCACCCCTGTTCTCATTTGTGCCGCTGAACGGGAGGTTATGGGCTTGGCTTGGTCACATCGTTGGGCGCATCACACTGGGCATGTATTGGGGTTTTCCATTTTCGGGTCGCGGGGGGGGGGGCGCCATTTGTGAATGAGTCTGAATAATTGGACACAAAAAGTAGTCCATTGCAAGTATTGGTCCATTTAATGGACTCAATCTACTCGCCGAGTTGCGAGTTAAATTCCAGGTGGCGGTAAACTCGGGCGACCGCCTGCACGCGGTTCAAAGAAAGAGAACCATGTTGTAGGAAGTCTACAGTGGTTGTCATGTGGAGAATGCCTGGTTCCCGTCATGGGAATGTGGAATGTCTGCCATTGGCTATTTGGATAAAATGCGGGTACCACAATGTCTTACTTGCTTGTCCGGCAAATTTGTGGCACAATTTCAAACACGATTGCTCCATCTGTGCATATGTGAAGCACTGTATTTGGAACACATGTTTGTTGTTCTGATTCAAAGAACCTTGGCAAAGGGTCGAATTATTTATCTACTTGTGTATGTTTTCAGATGGGAGCCACCTGGCTGTGGGTTCAAATGACAATTTCATCTACGTGTACTCCGTCTCGGAGGAAGGGCACAAGTACAACGCGGTTGGGAAATGCACGGTAAGCCTTGGGTCATGAGAAGCACTCTGCTACACCATGGCTACTAGTGTATCATCATCATGATCATCATCAAAGACCAGCGCAAGCGCATTTGCCACTCGTTACAAATATGTGCGGTTTCAAATCCCCCAGCCACCCCGGTTAATACTCCAGATGTATTAACCATAACATAACTATGCTTCACAGTTCGCTTAAAAGTTTCAGTGGCATTCGAAACTAAGATTATAAGCTATTTTTATTTTACCATGTAAGGCCCACTGAGCTACAAAGCTGTTTTTCAGAAGCGACCTGGCCACAAATGATAGCCCAACGAAGTGGCTTGTCACGTGAACATTTATAACAAATACTCTAAAAGCATGTTTCTAAATATGGAGGGAAAAACCAGAGAACCCAGAGAAAAATCAATGCGACGACAGGGAGAACATGCATACTTCAAATATACAGGCATCAGGGTCGGGATCGAACTCACGACCTCCTGTATACCAGACGAGGTGGTTAACGTCTCGCCACCGGGAGATATTCAAGCAAGAGCTGGCCAAGTGTGCGGCTGTCATGGTCCAAAATTATTTTGTACTATTCCTCCTGGGTGCTGCAGTTTTCTCCTCCGTGCAAACCACCGCTTAAGTAAATGGCCAATCATCCCACTGCAGGTCCATTCTCAAAAAGGTTTTCAGACCGAGGCTTTCCTAGGTATTATAACAAATCAAGCTGGGTGGCACTATAGCAGGGCACGAGTCTTGCGTTCGAAGGTTGGGAGTTCAAATCCTGTTCAAGGGTCAACCGAGCCAACCATGCAGGGGTGATAACATAAAAAATAATTGCTTTGGAAGAATTTAACAATGGTTGTCCTGTACAGAGTCTGACTTCTGCCACAGGAAAGTTAAATTTCCACCCCTGGCTCTCAAGCACACCAATAGCGATGAACACCACCCCTATATTAGCGAGAGTATGGAGATGCTTAGACCCTTTTAACATTATTTGTGTGCCGAACCTTGTTTTGTTTAAACACATTTCCCCTCGTCAATTTTCAGGGCCACTCGAGCTTCGTAACTCACCTGGATTGGTCTACAAACGGAGAGTTCCTCATGTCCAACTCGGGAGACTACGAGACCCTTTACTGTGAGTTTGAACATTAATCGAATCGCAAAAATGTATTAATAATTAAGCTTTGTAAATAAAGCCTGCTTAGCGATGGAGCATTAATGTTGGGTGAAGAAGAGTACGACTTTAATAGTAAGCGGTTCAGTAGTTTGTATTTCACAAGGCAACTTTAATAAACCCATGAAAAACGAGTGATGTTCTATTTCGTGAAAGATGTGTATTTGGTTATTTTGTTCATATTTTTGAGAAGGGACAAAATGAAGAAAACAACTTTCTAAACTGCAGAACATTATTTTAAGTAACCTGCTGGGGAATTCCATCGCTGGCTCAGGACCGCCAGCGATGAGTAACGTCCAACAATCGTTTTGAGTATGAGGACGCGTAAATATTTATGATTGCCACCTGGGCCAAGACAATGAAAGATTCGATGCACCACACGTCAACGTGTGGTGCACCCAGCCTCCGGGTCAACCCCGTGGATTGGGAGGAGGACCCAGAAACCTTGGATTGCCTGCCTCTCTTTCGACACGGGCATTCGTGCATTGAGTGTTTCCAAGCCATCGCGCCGCTGCCGTTTATTACTCGCTAAGAGCGTGCCCTTTTTAAATCCTTTATATTAAGTTCACTTGCTTGCTTGCTTGCTTACGACCGTGCAAATCTTTCGGTCGTTTTTTAACCCACTTCCCGTGATCCAATCGAGTGGACATTTTGCACACAGACTCGTTGTGCGTGACAATGTATTTTCGTGAATTTTTTTTCCCAAAATTTTACACTCTTTAGGAAAAAATAAATTATATTTTATTACCAATTGCTTAATGGTGGCAGGCATCTCAAGCCAGAGGACTAGAGGACTCTAGCCGCCACGCATATAAAGGATTTATAGTGAAAAACTTTGTTTTTACGGGTTAATTTTTTGTCTCCCCCTTTAGGGACTCCGGCCAACTGCAAGCAGGTGACCGCCATGGCAACGGTCCGAGACGTCGAGTGGGCCACGATGACCTGTGTGCTTGGATTCTCCACCTTTGGTGCGCCTTCACCCACAACGAATTGGCGCCCTTGCTTTTTTGTTTTAAACGTCTCCTTTAACGTATAGCGCTGTTGAAAAATTACACTGGTCAACAAAAAAAAAACATTTTTTTCTGGCCTGGACTTTTGCAGCTGTTTTAGACTAATTTATTTTATATTTTTCTTCTGCAGTTTTTATTGAAAATGCAATATTTGATGTCTAAAAAACCTGATATGATAGACAAAAACTGATGCCAGATTTGGAATCAGCACCCCAAAATTACCTTAAAAACGATGGAATACCTTATGCCAGAAAAAGTGTAACCAGTGTTATTCCACACGTTCACTTTGCCGGGTCTGTATTGGATGGGAGCGATCATCTTGGAGAGCTCTAGTCCACCGAGGTGTTCGACACTTTGAGTCACAACGACGCCATAACGAAACTGCAAACGGTCATGAAGGAAAGTACGCACCCAGGTCCGACTCAAAGATTCCCAACTATCAATAGCGACAACATATGCTGTCACTGTAACAAGATATGTGGTTCCAGGATTGGCCTTATCAGCCACCTGCGTGTACCCATAAACCCTGACCATCATCACTGTCCATGGGACGATCATCGTACTCAACCTCGAGTGATCCCAGATGTTCTTGGTTCTTTCGGTAAAGTCACGTAGAAGGGAAATAATAAAATAATAAAAATATAAAACAATAAAAATTCTCACGCGGTTCAACTGCAACACAAGCAATCATCATCACCTGTGTGCAACACAAGCAATCATTATCACCTGTGTTGCAGTCGAAACGTCGTGAGAATTTTTATTGTTTTATATTTTTATCATTTTATTATTTCTCTTCTACGTGACTTTATCGAAAGAACCAAGAATATGAATCCCTGCAGTCACGAAAGCTTTAAATCAAAATTTGATCCCAGATGATGATGATGATTGAATGGAATGGTAGCGCGTGTACATTAATTCGCAACGTGCCGGCATCACAATTGGGATGCGACTCAGAATTGAAGAGCTCTCTGGTTTCAGTTGATTTTTTTCGGCGCAGTACTGAGCCGAGTCGGTTGGTCGTGTTTGTGGCCGCGCGCAGGCGTGTGGTCGGAGGGAGCCGACGGCACGGACATCAACGCGCTGTGCCGCTCCGGCTCGGGCAAGCTGTGCGCCCTCGGCGACGACTTCGGCAAAGTGCGCCTCTTCCGCTTTCCAGCCTCGCAGCCCAAGGTGAGAGACGCCGCCGTGGCAGAGGTCGCAAACGGGTTTTGATTCCTTACCCGTACCCGGCCGCACCAGGGTCGCAAATGGGTACTCGTACCCGGCCGGGTACGGGTACCCGTTCCCTACCCGTACCCTACCCGAAATGAGTGACAAACGGTGACTCACCAGTGACTCACGGCCTACCCGTACCCGTACCCGGCCGCACCAGGGTCGCAAACGGCTACCCATACCCATACCCGGCCGGGTACGGGTAGCCGAGTATCGGGTAGGGTACGGGTATCGGGTACCCGGTTGCGACTAATGTGCCGTGGCGCAAGGGCGAATCTCCCACGCGTCTGCTGGCGCGCTGACGCAAGTCCAGGATGAGACATTTTTTTGTCGGCTCAGATGCAAACCGAATAGTTAATGGGAGTGAATTGTTTAGAATGTTGTTGGCTTAACATTGCCAGGTAATTTGTTGTAATTTTTTGGCGTTAATGCAAAGCAATTGTCACATGTTTATGCTACAGTCTTTCTAATGGGCTACATTTGTAAACACGTTCCTTCGGAGTGCGATCCGTGTCACGTGGCGCAAGCTGCGTGGGACGGCGCGTCACGTGGTGCTGAGCCCGCCCGAAGCGCTCTTCTATGAAATACAAATCGAGGGCGTAGCTATGCATAACAGACAGACAGACAATCCCTGGTGGGCAGTGTGGAACTGTTGTTCCTTCCTGTATTTTTTTTCTGTTAAAGAAAATATAACCTTGCACAGACACCTATGGATATATATATATTATACAAACTTGTATACATAATACCAAATTAGCATTTTACAAATACATATTCTTGTGTAGGTCAGCAATTTATGTCATTATTAGAGTGAACTTGAAAATAGCGTTTTCTTATTTAGCTCCAAATTTCTTCAATCAGATTTCCAAATTTCCTCGAGTCACTCTTTGGCTGCGTCTCAATGGTTCTGATTCTGGCTTTTTTTACAGGAAATACAGTTAAATCGGAAGAAAACTAAATTCAGAATATTCAATTTGTGCCAAATAAGTGGAACCTATCAATTTCTACGAAAACAAAAAAACAGGCTTCTCGCCTGCATTTCCTCAGGCCATTAGCTCCTCACATCGGATTCATACTGGACACCTGTGAAAAAGAGCTTTATATCTCATCAGATTCCTCCAGTATAAGTAAATATTCGGATTTTGATACATCGTCAATGATAATCCTTTGGCTTTGGTTGTAAACTGCAACTTTTTACTGGTAGGAACCTCCTGATTACACCAGCCCTCAGGGGATTATTGTGTCCGTCCGTCGTGCAGGGAGGGGCTGGGTGGGGAAGGTGGGGAGGGGGGCTGGGTGGGGAGGGGCTGGGTGGGGAGGGTGGGGCTGGGTGGGGGGTCGGAGGGGTGGGGATGAGCTGGTCACCCCGTGGTGCCCTTATAAAACTCAACGTTTAACCTACTCACGCCGGCTTGTGCCCGCCCTCAGTCGGGCATATTTGCGGAATACACCACGCCGCCGTTGACCCTGGCCATTGACCGAGCAACCCAACGTTCCTACCAGCTCCCTCCGCAGGACAATGTGTTACACGTAACTGCCCCCTTAAACCGCTTTTCCTCTGCCCCCCCCCCCCCGTTTCCCCTGCAGGCTCCCAGCCACGCTTACGGCGGCCACTGCAGCCACGTGACCAACGTGGCTTTCTCCAGCGACGACTCCTTCGTCTTCACGACTGGCGGCAAGGATATGGGCATCCTGCAGTGGCGCGTGCAGTGACGGCGCAGCGGCGTGCTCGCCAGCCCTTGGTCCCAACCCCGAACCCCGTCCACCTCGTCATCCCGCGGCACCCTGTCACCCATGATTAATTTTAAGGCAGAGGCACCTTAACCTGTGTATGGTCAAAACTGCAGTGTCAAAGCATTGTTGTCAGCCGATGTATGGCAAGCAATCGTTTCATCGCTGTGGCTCATTTGATTAATGTTTGTGAATGCCTGATCTGATGTTACACGTCACTGCTGAAACGATGCGTCGCCTGTTTCGTCATCTCTGTGGCTCGCTGCGATGAGTTTTGTCAGCTTGTGCCACCTGTTGTTCGGCTCCCAGAGTGTAAGAAGCTCCCCAGCAGCTCTCGACACGTGGGGTGAATCGTCGGACACCAAGCCGAACAGCAGTACGATACAACCCGAAAACACATGGGAGAAGACCTTGCTAAACAACCGCATTTAACTTGCGCAACAACAATGCCACGCAGTTTATGAAGGAGGTTGTCGCTTTGCCTCTGCTTTTTAAACATGCCACTGAAATATCCCCTTCACTCAATACATTTGCAGTCCAGTTTAAGAGCAGGTTTTCTGCTTCGCATAGCAGAGTAGTTGTAGCAACATACCACTCCACGCTTCCAGGTGTGGCGATCTTCTGAGCCTTAATATACCTTGGTCTGTTTACATATTCAAGTTTGCTATAGTGGACAAATAGTCTGGGCTGTGATGCTTTGGCCAGTGAAAGTTAACATTTCCAGATTCTCGTGGTGGTTCCTACACGTAAAATATTGGTCTCTGCTTTTTGCAGCTTATTTGCAGATTTTGACCCTCGTTTTGTCACCATGCATAGCAGCACGCCTTGATGCAATCATAGTGCGTTGGCCTGCATGTCGTAGTTTAACGTTTGAGCGGTGCATTATAACTTCAAAATATAAAAAAACTTGAGAAAGCGTCTTGAAAAGATTTATCGAATGTCTTTGACAATCGTATTGTTTGCGTTGTTTACGTTTTTTGTGCAGTTTCCGATAAGCTTTGAGGATTTGGTAAGATTACCGGTCCGCTTGCGTAGGTTACGATCCCGTGATCCCATGCGCTGATTAACTTCTCGTCATAATATAACAATTCGGTCTGGAATGTCCAATAAGATTTTTGTACGACTATTTAATTAATTGTGCTGGGAGACAATCTTTTGAACTTTGTAGATTCCACGGTGCTGTTCTTAAATGCAGCATTTATTGGTAAAGTGATACCATTCACTTATTTTTCAAAGCACTTTAAAGTACAGCACACGTTTGGTAAGGGGTAAGCAGCAATGAAAACCCCCAGCACAAATAATTTTAACAATGGGAAAATAAGCACACTCGGTATTCACCATCTTACAAAAAAGGTCTAAAAGCAGTACTTTATTAATTTGTGTGTGATGACTAGGTAACATGTCAAACAATAAATATAATCAAAGCAAAATACTGGATCAAAAATACTGTGTAAGAATTGTGCTTTAAAATTGCAGTACAGTTTCAGAAATGCATCGAATTATTAATACTTTGTAACTTTGCAAGTATTAATATTCCTGGGTTTTTCGGTAAAGTCACGTAGATAGGTTTATTTTTGAAGAATATGAATTCCTGCAGTCACGAAAGCGTTAAGTCAAGATTTGCAAGTGTATTTATTTCACATTGATACTCTTCAGATATGTAGAGGCACCTTGAGAAGGGGGAAATGCGTAGATTGGTGGTATACAACAAAGTGTCACTTTCTGGACGACTTTTCTGGAAACCTTTTTAAAGTAACGTACAAGATATTTCCGGAATGCCTCTTCACAGACTCCACCACGGTGCAGGTGATTGCTGAAGTCAATAGATGCGAATTAAATCATTACAGTTGAACACGTAGGGTTTCACGACAAAGGTCATCCATAATACAGGTTTCGTATGTTTTTTGGGTTATATCGTGTAAATATATAAATGTGTTGCTAAACTCGACACAGCCGATTAGTCCGGCGACAGACCTATTTGTATACGTCTCCACCACACCGGTGTGCTGTTCTCGTAACGAATTGGCATTTTCTGTTTATGTGACGAACCTTACGAATCGGATGTTTCGGGTGGTGGCGGGTTTAACGAGACATATTTACGCGATCTAACCCAAAAAAAGCCTGTGCTATGGATAAATCCATACACGTTGCACACCCCTGTGATTTGGTCGACAAACTTAAGCTTAGCAGCACAGCACGATCGAGAGGTGCACGGAATGGATTGCAGTATTGACACCGTGTTGCTATCAGAAAACATAATTAATCAATGTTTTTTTTTTAAATACCTAATATTTACACATTAGCAGGGATATATTTCTGTAGATCCACACGTAAAAAGCACAGATGCATTCCAAAAATGGTTTCCCAATTGTTTGACTGGATTCGTTTTTTTGTTTCTTAATAGGATGTTTTACTAATTTACTGCGTTTTAAGATTAATAACCACATCTGATAAATAGTCATTAGGCGATTCTCTCATTTGTGATTGACCACTACAGATATTAATGTTGTCCAGAAATATTCACTCATTAACATTTCAGATATATGCTAGATTGTCCTTGCGTTAACCTCACTAATTGCTGTGCGTTTTGACTTGCTGCGGTTAAGCGTTTGAAACGAATTGAATGTAGGCATTACCAAAATTGAAAATATTCTACAAGATGTTTGCACGTTCACTATTTAGGCACATTTATAGATGCTATATTACAGTGCTTAAAGATGGTCAGAAAGTGCTGAGTTTCTCAATGAAACAGTTTTGATCGTTATGATTGCTATTGACAAGCATCTTGCGCATATTGTTGGGGCAGGCGTTGTTATTTGCTCTCTTGATCCATCTTAAACATTTATTTGCCTGTACGAGCGAATTGCTATACTACTTCATTCACATTTCAGACAATAAATGTTGGTTTCACAAGGCCGATGTGTCCGTCTCTGGATTTTGTTTTATCATGCAAACACTACATGCATTAATCATCGTCATCTATGCCGTCACCCCAATGGTCTTCGGGGTGCTACTGATGCCTCTGCCGTCAGCTCCCTCTCCAAGTTGGCCTGTCCTTTGCAGACAGGTGTTGCTGCTTGATCAATCCGTCTCAATTTTCAGACATTTGATCTTGGGGCCTCAATTTTCCTTTCGCTCATGCAAGCGATACACCTTTGTCCACGTACTTCGGGGTTTTGGGTAGGCTTGTGCATATCTAGAGGGAATGAATTGGTCTACATGGCGTTGTGATTGGAGCTGTCGAACTCGCATTTGGACATCCGGTGAACACTGTTTATAAAATAAATATCACTTTCTGAGAAATAAACAATTGTGACTCTTTGCACGTATCACAAGTATATCAATTATAAATGTGACGTCAACGCATCAGATTTTTTTTTCTATTAAATTAGTATTTTACCAGGGAAGGCCTACTGAGCTATATAGCTCTTTTTTCTGAATGCATGTTGATTCGAAATGTGGCGGGGTGAAGAACTGGAGGACCCGGAGAAGAATCCACACAACCACGGGGAAACCATGCAAACTCCAAATATACAGGCGTCGGGGTCGGCATTGAACCCAGGCGAGGGAACACACCAGGCGAGGTAGTTAACGTCTGGCCACATACCACTACAATACGTGGCAAGAGTAGGGAATAACGAACCTTGTCAAGATGTATAAAACAGTTGCCAGGGGAAAACTCACAAACAACACTGCTTTAAAACCGCTTGAATGTGAAGCTTCCACGGGATTCTTTCCAACAAACTTAGACCTCAGCCGGTTTCATACACTACGCCTGTACATGTAACATGCCCCCAGGTTAATTGTTTGATTACCAGGTATCTCATTACCTAATCAGCGTATAAATCAGTGCACCAGTTGAAAATTATGATTGAACCTGTGCCGTTTTTAGCCATTTGTCCAAATTGTGGTAGCTTTATTTTTCAACAAAAAGTTAATTCCTCCATTGTGTTTACCATGAGCATGCAATCTATATATTACATAATAAAACTAACCTTGCCGTTTTTGGCAAAAATTTGGCCAAATTTTCACAGCTTTATTTTTCAACAAAAGTGCATTCCTCGGTTGTGTTTAACCTTAGTATGCTATAGATTACATTAAAAGTGGGAAATTTCACCATGAAATTTTCAAGCAAAAAAAAGCAAAATCGGCACACTAACCTATGCCGTTTTTGGCAAAAAATTGGCCAAATTATCACAGCTTTATTTTTCAACAAAAGTGCATTCCTCGGTTGTGTTTAGCCTTAGTATGCTATATGTTACAGGAAAAGAGAGAAATTTCACCATGAAATTTTCAAGCAAAAAAAGGAAAATCGGCACACTAACCTATGCCGATTATGGCAAAAAATGGCCAAATTTTCACAGCTTTATTTTTCAACAAAAGTGCATTCCTCGGTTATGTTTAGCCTTAGTATGCTATATGTTACACGAAAAGAGAGAAATTTCACCATGAAATTTTCAAGCAAAAAAAAGCAAAATCGGCACACTAACCTATGCCGTTTTTGGCAAAAAATTTGCCAAATTATCACAGCTTTATTTTTCAACAAAAGTGCATTCCTCGGGTGTGTTTAGCCTTAGTATGCTATATGTTACAGGAAAAGAGAGAAATTTCACCATGAAATTTTCAAGCAAAAAAAAGGAAAATCGGCACACTAACCTATGCCGATTATGCCAAAAATTGGCCAAATTTTCACAGCTTTATTTTTCAACAAAAGTGCATTCCTCGGTTATGTTTAGCCTTAGTATGCTATATGTTACACGAAAAGAGAGAAATTTCGCCATGAAATTTTCAAGCAAAAGAAAGCAAAATCGGCACACTAACCTATGCCATTTTTGGCCAAAATTGGCCAAATTTTCACAGCTTTATTTTTCAACAAAAGTGCATTCCTCGGTTATGTTTAGCCTTAGTATGCTATAGATTACATTAAAAGAGGGAAATTTCACCGAGAAATTTTCAAGCAAAAAAAGAGCAAAATCGGCACACTAACCTATGCCGTTTTCGGCAAAAATTTTGCCAAATTTTCACAGCTTTATTTCTCAACAAAAAGTGCATTCCTCGGTTGTGTTTAGCCTTAGTATGCTATATATTACAGGAAAAGTGGGAAATTTCACGATAAAATTTTCACATCGCAGAAAGAAAATCGGCATACTAACCTATGCCGATTATGGCAAAAATTGGCCAAATTTTCACAGCTTTATTTTTCAACAAAAGTGCATTCCTCGGTTATGTTTAGCCTTAGTATGCTATATGTTACACGAAAAGAGAGAAATTTCACCATGAAATTTTCAAGCAAAAAAAAGCAAAATCGGCACACTAACCTATGCCGTTTTTGGCAAAAAATTGGCAAAATTATCACAGCTTTATTTTTCTAAAAAAGTGCATTCCTCGGTTGTGTTTAGCCTTAGTATGCTATAGATTACATTAAAAGTGGGAAATTTCACCGAGAAATTTTCAAGCAAAAAAAGCAAAATCGGCACACTGACCTATGCCGTTTTTGGCAAAAATTTTGCCAAATTTTCACAGCTTTATTTTTCAACAAGAGTGCATTCCTCGGTTGTGTTTAGCCTTAGTATGCTATATGTTACACGAAAAGAGAGAAATTTCACCATGAAATTTTCAAGCAAAAAAAAGCAAAATCGGCACACTAACCTATGCCGATTATGGCAAAAATTGGCCAAATTTTCACAGCTTTATTTTTCAACAAAAGTGCATTCCTCGGTTATGTTTAGCCTGAGTATGCTATAGATTACATTAAAAGTGGGAAATTTCACCGAGAAATTTTCAAGCAAAAAAAAGTAAAATCGGCACACTAACCTATGCCGTTTTTGGCAAAAAAATGGCCAAATGTTCACAGCTTTACTTTTCAGCAAAAGTGCATTCCTCGGTTGTGTTTAGCCTTAGTATGCTATATGTTACACGAAAAGAGAGAAATTTCACCATGAAAATTTGAAGCAAAAAAAAGCAAAATCGGCACCCTTAACCTATGCTGATTATGGCAAAAATTGGCCAAATTTTCACAGCTTTATTTTTCAACAAAAGTGCATTCCCCGGTTATGTTTAGCCTTAGTATGCTATATGTTACACGAAAAGAGAGAAATTTCACCATGAAATTTTCAAGCAAAATCGGCACACTAACCTATGCCGTTTTTGGCAAAAAATTGGCCAAATTTTCTCAGCTTTATTTTCTTAACAAAAGTGCATTCCTCGGTTGTGTTTAGCCTTAGTATGCTATAGATTACATTAAAAGTGGGAAATTTCAGCATGAAATTTTCAAGCAAAAAAAGAGCAAAATCGGCACACTAACCTATGCCGTTTTTGGCAAAAAATTTGCCAAATTATCACAGCTTTATTTTTCAACAAAAGTGCATTCCTCGGTTATGTTTTGCCTTAGTATGCTATATGTTACAGGAAAAGAGAGAAATTTCACCATGAAATTTTCAACAAAAAAAAAGGAAAATCGGAACACTAACCTATGCCGTTTTTGGCATAAAATTGGCCAAATTTTCACAGCTTTATTTTTCAACAAAAGTGCATTCCTCGGTTGTGTTTAGCCTTAGTATGCTATATGTTACACGAAAAGAGAGAAATTTCACCATGAAATTTTCAAGCAAAAAAAAGCAAAATCGGCACACTAACCTATGCCGATTATGGCAAAAATTGGCCAAATTATCACAGCTTTATTTTTCAACAAAAGTGCATTCCTCGGTTGTGTTTAGCATTAGTATGCTATAGATTACATTAAAAGTGGGAAATTTCACCGAGAAATTTTCAAGCAAAAAAAAGCAAAATTGGCCGAATTTTCACAGCTTTATTTCTCAACAAAAAGTGCATTCCTCGGTTGTGTTTAGCCTTAGTATGCTATATATTACAGGAAAAGTGGGAAATTTCACGATAAAATTTTCACATCGCAGAAAGAAAATCGGCATACTAACCTATGCCGTTTTTGGCAAAAAAAATGGCCAAATGTTCACAGCTTTACTTTTCAGCAAAAGTGCATTCCTCGGTTGTGTTTAGCCTTAGTATGCTATATGTTACACGAAAAGAGAGAAATTTCACCATGAAAATTTGAAGCAAAAAAAAGCAAAATCGGCACCCTTAACCTATGCTGATTATGGCAAAAATTGGCCAAATTTTCACAGCTTTATTTTTCAACAAAAGTGCATTCCCCGGTTATGTTTAGCCTTAGTATGCTATATGTTACACGAAAAGAGAGAAATTTCACCATGAAATTTTCAAGCAAAATCGGCACACTAACCTATGCCGTTTTTGGCAAAAAATTGGCCAAATTTTCTCAGCTTTATTTTCTTAACAAAAGTGCATTCCTCGGTTGTGTTTAGCCTTAGTATGCTATAGATTACATTAAAAGTGGGAAATTTCAGCATGAAATTTTCAAGCAAAAAAAGAGCAAAATCGGCACACTAACCTATGCCGTTTTTGGCAAAAAATTTGCCAAATTATCACAGCTTTATTTTTCAACAAAAGTGCATTCCTCGGTTATGTTTTGCCTTAGTATGCTATATGTTACAGGAAAAGAGAGAAATTTCACCATGAAATTTTCAACAAAAAAAAAGGAAAATCGGAACACTAACCTATGCCGTTTTTGGCATAAAATTGGCCAAATTTTCACAGCTTTATTTTTCAACAAAAGTGCATTCCTCGGTTGTGTTTAGCCTTAGTATGCTATATGTTACACGAAAAGAGAGAAATTTCACCATGAAATTTTCAAGCAAAAAAAAGCAAAATCGGCACACTAACCTATGCCGATTATGGCAAAAATTGGCCAAATTATCACAGCTTTATTTTTCAACAAAAGTGCATTCCTCGGTTGTGTTTAGCCTTAGTATGCTATAGATTACATTAAAAGTGGGAAATTTCACCGAGAAATTTTCAAGCAAAAAAAAGCAAAATTGGCCGA